TGTGTTGAAAGTGTCGGGGATTCTCGACTGGTGCGGCTCCGTCAGCCAGTACTAACCCTACTGCAGTGCCGCGTCCAGGCTGACGTTAAACCCACATTCATGAGTAGACATGTCACGTGAAGATGAGCAAGAAAGAGGAAAGGCGAAAGGTCGATGTTGCCCGGGGCATCGAGTAGAGCGAGAAAGAGGAATCTAATGGTAAAGAATGAGTCACCATCTATCAGAATAACTCGAATAATTGCAGGAATTTCGAATGGAAGGTATCTAATCGGAAACGATGACTCAAAGGAGCGATGAGGATGTGCACAAACGTAGGGTATTTGGTATTTTTTGGTAATTTTTTATTTATTATTTTTATTTTTTTTCACCTTTTTATCTTTTTTTAAAATTATTTTTCTCTTTTACCAGTCGTACCACTTACGGCTTCCCCCTTCTATATCCCACCACTTGGGATTACCTCTCTCTTCACCGTACATTCGTACCACTTACGTCTGTACTTCCTTCCGGTCCTACCGTTTGGGACCATCTCTTCTTCTTTTTTGGGGAATGCCGGCTTCCCTACCCTTTTCTTGCCACCAGTCGTACCACTTGCGACTGTCCCTTCTCTCTATCAGTCGACTGATTCCCTCTTCTTCCTGCCGTACCACTTGCGGCTTCCCCTTCTATATCCCACCACTTGGGATTTTCCATCTCTCTCTCGGTCTTACCGTTTGGGACCAACCATCTCTTCTTTTTTTTTAGGGGAAAGTCGTACCACTTACGGCCATGCCAGTCGTTCCACTAATGACTGGCTTCCCCTTTTGTATTTTTGTTTTATTACTTTAATTTTTATCTTTATTCTTGTTAATTTATTAACTTATTAATTTATTTGTTTTAATTTATTATTTGTTATTGTTTTACTTTTTAATTTTTTTTCAGATCTTTTTAATTGTTTTTCAGATCTGTGTGCGTGTGTATGTTTAGGTATCATCACTGCTGCTGCCGCCGATGGAAGGATACCGCAACTAGGTATCTCACACCACTAAGCCTAAGAATCTAACATCCTAAGTGTCCCTAGCCTACTTAATCCGCCGTAGTCGGCAATTTTTAGGCCGTAGTCGGCAATTTTTAGGCCGTAGTCGGCAAATCCCCAAAAGCGCCGAGGCTTCCCATCCCCTTTAGTGCCGAGGCGTTGGCTGGATGGCGGCTTATCCGCTGTATCCTAAACTCGGGTGATTGGCCTGGCAAGCCCTTCAGCCCTGATTCCGTAGCCGGGAATCGAACCCTACCCAAACGTCCGTTTCAAGTACTCTCGAGTGCTTGGAAACTGCTAGTGGGCGTTATGGATGGTTATGCTTTAGAAATTTGCTTCACCGGGTGTCCTCCATACTAGTTAGGATGTCATCTGGACCTGACCTATATTGACGTGGTTTGGCCAGCTATGTCAATATGTCCAGCCTTTCGGGTGCACATGGACCGTGCTTCTTGGCATAGTAGCTTGCTACATTGTAGTGGCTTGCTACTACTTTGTAGTAAGCTGCTGTGCTGAGAAGACAAAACCACATTACCATATCACCAGTAGACCCGGGGCCCAGCCAGACGTGGCTTGCACAACCACTTCTACTTCTATTATCCTCGGATGATAGTTGTGGGATGTCCTTGTGTGATCCCCATGGTAGGATCGGCAATGACCCACATCAGGTTTCGGCCTGATGCTGGTGAGCCTCTCCTTCAAGTGCCGAGCCTCTACGTGGCGAAGGAGATCAACTGACTCGGTCCTTTTTGGCCCAAGTCAGGCTAATCGGCACACGAAATTGTTTTTTTTTTCTAATTTTTGATTTCACGAATATGTCCACAAGTTATAGCTTAAAAATATAATTGGTTAAAAACTGGGGAAAACATTTTGGAACTAAAAAGTCAAAATAAATAATTGAATTAGAAAAAATGAGAATTATAAAAATTTAATTAGTTTTAATTCAAACTTAGAATTAAACCCACATCGTAGTTCTGGAAGTGTTGCAAGAAAAATGGTTTTTAAAATAGAACTATTTTTTCATGATTATAAAAGCGATGAATGGTTTCACCAAAAACAATAAAAAGAAACGGCACATGAAATTATTCAAATAAATGAATTTAAAAGATATTTTTATTCTTATGCTTAAATGTCATACTTAGAAAAACATTATTCGTTCCCTTAATTTAAAAACGGTATCCCTTTTTCGTTTATATCACATTACAACAAAATGTGAAATCAACTAAACAGAAAGCTTCTGATCAAACAGCCGCATTAAACTTTAAGCAAAAAATCGTTGCAGGTTTTTCACTACAAGAATATGGATACTAGGGAACGAGATAATTAGATTTGGATTTTAATTTGTTAAATAAACTATAAGCAGAATGTCATATTGTTTTAAAGTAGATTTTCATTTTGGTTTTTTTTTATTAAATATATCTGACTTTTATATTCTTTACTTATAACTTGTAATTACAATAACACAATAACACATTAAAATTTGAGCAACTGGTAATGAAAAGATGTTCCTAGGTTTAATCATTTCAAAAACCTTTAAAAAACGGCAAAATAAAGTGAAGTGACTTTAAGAAATATGATTTTTGATACGCATATACATATTTTCATTTTCATTCCAAATGGCGACATTAAATTGTGAAAAATTGTATTCCTTTCATTTTTTTCAATTATCTAAAAATCACTATTTCTGGAATGTTTTCCATACCAAACAGTTCTATTGGAAATTAAATTATTTGCCTGATTTTCGTTAAGTAATTTCTCAAACGTAAATTTAAAATTTTCTAAGTTGAAGGAAACATTGAGAAATTCGGAACAAAATACATTAAAACCGTTGTTTTGATATATTGAAAACGCCTTTAAAAACTAAAAATAGTAGCATGTTATTATACCTTGATTTTACTTTCAATATAAACCAAACACAACAAAATTTTTTGTTTTTTTCAATTTTTTTTCAGAACAATGATTTGTTTATCTACTTTTCCTCCTTTTTTAATGAAATTTTACCGAATAAAAAATAATGAGCACTTTTTAAGAAAAAAACATTAAGACGATAGGTTACATTTTTTCACTTGTATCATTGTTCAAGTATTGATCAACAGGCAGTGCCTATAAATTCTTCGATTGAGTCTTCTCGAGCCGTTGGGATGATTGCGCTTTTGTCACATTTCTTTCTCTAGCACTCTCAATCGGTGCAGCACTGTTTCTCCGTATGCATGTCTGCGTTTCCTCGTTCTCTGTCAAAAACGCTCGGAGTTTTTCGTAAAACCAACACTTATTCCGGCCTGTGGATGGTGGGGTGGCTCTTGCCACCCGTTAAATAAAGGTATGCTTTAAAATTTATTTAACATTCAAATTTTCATTAATTTTCATTTTAGGAGGCGCGTTTGTTTGTGAGTGTGAAGACAATCACCCTCCCCTGTTAAAGAGGGGTAAGTCACATTCAATATTGGTAATAAATTATAACATTTTAACAAAAAAATTATTAAATGATCTATTTTAAATTCATCATTCGCAATTAACTTTTGCTAAAGTAAAATTTTGAATTATAAAATGTAAGAAATCTGTTTAAGCAATTATTTGTCATATTTTAGGAGATTGAAATCAAAGAAGACTGTGTCCCCAAAAGAGGACTACATAAAGAAAAATGTGTTTGAAAACACACAAAAAACTTTGCCAGTTTTCAGGTCAGTTTAACAATAATATTTTTATGAACATGATGTCATTATGAGTTTTATTTTAGATGATTTTCACATAGTAGGAGTTCAGCAACTTCTGATAGCCGATCTCTTAAACCATGGTCTGTTTCTCAAACCACAATGGCGATATTATTGCCATTATTGGCTAGGAATAGTAATATTCCATACTTTTAGTTAGGCTCTTATGCCTAAATCTAAAAATGTATAATTCCAAATCAAAGGTAATTCCTTAAATTAGTATCTACCTGAAGTAAAAAATTTAACATTTCAGTTTTGCGTCAATCGTAATAGGATATTGGCACATTCTCTAACAACAATGTAGAAATATCAGGGTCTTCGTTGCGTATTTGGAATATTGTAATCAGCGGTGCAATAATGAAAGTATTTATTGAAAACAGTATTTTTTGTACATCGTCCTTTTCGTTTCTGTATTTTTGCTACATACGAAATAAATTTTGTTAAAATGTTTTTATTAAAATAATTCTGTTTTGTCAGAAGTCAGATTCCAACGAAGTCTTCTTGCCCTCGTCGCTTATAATTTTGCTAACCATTCACGTGATATCGCCCTTAAACAGGATGTACATAGATGCTTTCGACTCCGCCCTGTCGACTATAAAAACGAAGCTCGAATAATTTTTTTGTCGTCTCTTTTGTCACCTTTTGCCCATTCGCAATTTATGCATTTTTAAGTTTAAGGCATTTTTATTAACTGTACGCAAATGTGTCATTTTCAACATTTTTTAGAAGTAATGCGCAAACACAATAACTTGAAAGGAAAGGATACACATTTTGATAATTTTCTTCACAAAACTTTTTTGTACCGGTCGCTCTTTTTCCATAATTTGGACCATTCTCCAAGTTTCAACCGATATATCGAAATAGCAAAAAACGTTTGAACTAGGGAAATAATTATTTTTAAAATTTTTATTGTAAAGATTATACTTGAAAATGTTGAATTACTTTCTAAAAATGGCTGGAAACACTTTAAAAAAATAAAATGCAGGCAACGTTGCTCCGTCGTTACACTGTGGACTCATCACGCGTCTCTCTAAAACAAGAGCGTCCATGCTGGATTTACGTGTCATACGAGTCAATAACACAACGTATCCAAGAAATGCTTGCTCGCGCTCATTTTCATTTCTCATTTTTCCTTTTTATATCTAAAAATATTTCACATATTTCAAAAACCCCCGTCATCAAATTTTTGATAAAACCTGACATCAACTCATTAGTGGTGTGCACAAATGTTTTATCAAATTTATTTAATATGTTATGAATAACTGATTTGCAGAATAATGTCCGGTGGAACAAACACCAACAATTTTCAAGAGATGGCCAAGGGACTTATCAAGTTTGCGGTACAATCGTTGTCAAATACTCGCAGTGCGCAACAAACATCAGTGCAGAGAGTTGGCGCAGGAAATATTGCCAGTATGCCGTTCTCAAACAGAGCAGGGCTTCTCAAGGTAATTTTTGTTGAGTAAAAATTTGTTCCAAAGATTTTCATATCCAATTTCAAATCTGGGTTAAAATAACAAAAAAGCTATTTTTTCGAGACGAAATTTAAAATAGAATAGAAATGAGTGTTGATTCACATAGCTGAAAACAAATCTGTTTAGAATTGGACGAGTTTTTTAAACATGAACAGACAATAACGAAAAACTCGAAAATATTGAAATCAAAAGAGAATATTTACCTGAGTTATTTTCATGAGACTAACGATCTTAAGAATCAATGCTCTCGTGATAGAAAAGTTTCAATGTGGATCGCATGTTTTTACATGTGGTTTTAAATAATCGCCTTAATAGTTTTCGCGCCTCTTAATTTTTAATCCAGGTAAATTTCAAATTAATCATTTTTGTGGAGGGCCATTTAACTGATAACGTCATTACATATTCATTAATTAGCTTTACAAGCTAGATTATCTACTTAAGATTAAAGTATATATTAAACTTTTAAAAAGAGTGTTATAAAAACAATGCCGAACTCTTATTTTAGATTAAAAATACATGCAAGTTTAGAAACGTTTTCAAAAGCAAATATTGAGTCATTGAAAACTGGAGCAAATTTTTAAAACAATATTTTAAAGAAATGAAAAAGTCATGCATTGGAGAATGACGAGAAGCATTGGCACATAGCCAATAATTCTTTAATTTTTGTTCAGGCGTTTGACTCCAACAATAAACTGCAACAGTCTATGAAAAGATTTACATTTATTAAATTAATTGACACAAATACTAAATCAGTAGGTTCCATGGCTCAAAATAAAGTAAATAATATTTCAGCTCTTCTTCGTTTGTGGCAGTTCACTTTGGCTCGGAGGCTTGATTGCACACAAGGGCGCTTCTTATCTTGAGGAAAACGAAATCTTCGTCCCAGCTGAAGATGACGATGATGATTGAACTTAATGATTGTCACATAATCATGTCAATTAGTCATTTAAATTTTGCCATAACCCAAACCCCACAAGTCTTGTCTCTTCTCCCTGTAGCTTCCATCATTTTATGGGTAACCAAGGCCAGCATAATTCTAATCGCTTGTATATAGTTTCAATAAAGATTTCGCAGAATAAAAAATGCTCGTTGTTTACTAGAAAAAAGACCATGGGAGAGGGGAAAAGCGAGAGAAGCTTGGGACTTCTCTGAACACTCCACGATAAAAGAGACGCCTGTCGTGCAATGCTTTTTAGAATTTGCACGTAGTCGCAACTCGGCCACGGCGTCAGGTCACAATTCGTTCACTTTCAAAACATTTTTGCGTTGCATTTCGTTTCGGATTCCTTTTTAAATATTCGCCTTTTTTTTTAGAAATGGCGGACGCTGAACATCACTCGGCTTATGGAATCGAAACGGATTCGATGACTCTTCAGCGTTATGTCATCCAATCTCAAAAGAAACATCCAACAGCTACTGGAGACCTTACCAACCTTTTGACTTCCCTTCTAACTGCGTTCAAGGTGATTATTTTTTACTAATGATACGTTATTGTGAACACTGATAAGACGTTTTGTAATTCATTGCGAGAACATTGCGTTCAAAGAACATTTCAGTGAATGTTAAAAAAATGAATATAACTGTGTGTGAAAAAACAATGTACTACAATTACACTTCAGATAAAAAACCAATATCTTTGCACAGTCAGGAAGTTTCTAATTTCTTGCCAATAAAATTGTGGTATTTTTTAACTGATTAAAAATGCTATGTCAAAAACTATATCGAAAGAAAAGCTTACTAAATTTATGAATGACCTCGTTTGGAGCTTCTTCTTTTATTCACTGATAAAATAAACTTCAGCAAGGCATACTTCCTATGTTATCAATTACGGAATTGATAATTGCAAAACTAACATGTGCTTTTGATTAGTTAACAGATGATAATATCACGTGAAGTTGCTCAATCAAAAAAATTAAATGAAATCAGTGATAAGCGGAAAGTGTCTTTCAGGCAATCTCAAGCGCTGTCCGCAAAGCCGGTCTTGCGCAACTTTATGGACTTGCTGGAAATAGCAATGTTCAAGGAGAGGAAGTCAAAAAGCTTGATATTCTTAGTAATGAGTTGATGATTAACATGCTCAAGTCGTCGTTCACTACATGCGCATTGATCTCGGAAGAAAATGAGAAGGTTAGATTCCATTGAATTTCATTGTCATTATTCAAGAATTGTGTTTCAGGTTATCGAAATTGAAGACGGAAAGCAGGGCAAATATATCGTTAGCTTCGATCCGCTTGATGGATCGTCCAATATTGATTGTCTTGTCTCTATTGGTAATTTTCCGTCCCACATTTGAAAAAAAAATTAATGATAGGAACCATCTTCGGAATTCATCGTAAAGTTGCTGAAGGACCAGTTACTGATCAAGATTTGCTCCAGCCTGGAAGGTGAATTAGCTCCTATTTGTATAAAAGCATTAATACATCTTTTTTCAGAAAACTAGTTGCGGCTGGATATTGCTTGTATGGATCAGCTACTATGGTTGTCCTTTCTACTGGTCATGGTGTCAATGGATTCATGCTCGATCCCGTGAGATTGTGATTCAACCACATGTTTTAAATCTCATAACGTTACAGAGTTTGGGAGAATTCATTCTTACCCATCGCCACATGAAAGTTCCAGAAGTGGGAAAAGTGTACAGTATTAACGAGGGATATGCGAAACACTGGAGTAAAGGATTGACCGAATATGTGAGAACGAGAAAATTCCCAGAGGTGCGTATCTTACTTTGTGTCAGAAAGTGTAAAACAGAAGGAATAATTCAAATATTCCAAAGTATCTCAAAATCTGCAATTCTTTAGAGTTTCTTACGAAAATTTTCAAAATAAATTTATACATAATATTTGTAGTTTATTAACACGAATTTTTGTTAGAGTGATCATCATTCAAATAAATAAAACGTAATAGGAATACTGAGTATATTGGAAATCTATATTTATATTCATGTACTATTCCGTTTACAGGAGGGCAAAAAGGGAATGAACCAGAGATATGTCGGCTCCATGGTTGCTGATATCCATCGTACAATTCTTAATGGTGGAATATTCCTTTACCCAGCTACTAAAGATGCTCCGAATGGAAAGCTTCGTCTTCTCTACGAGGGTGCTCCAATGGCCTACTTGATTGAACAAGCTGGAGGACTTGCTGTTACCCACGAGGTTTGCTATTATTTCAATTACAGTACCTATGAATTTTTCAAGGGAACCTCTCTTCTTGACATTCATCCAACGGAAATCCATCAGCGTACCACCGTTTTTATGGGAAGCAAAAAAGATGTTGAGGAGCTTTTGGAGTTTTTCGCCAAATATGATAAAAACTAAGTAGAATATTGTTTTTCTCTCATCGATGTTTTTAATTTTTGATTATTATTCGTATCTATGTTTATGACACAAATATTCATCGCATAAATAAGTTTTCTAGAAGTTTTCGTTGTTGGCTACGTGCCAATGCGTCAATCGCGCTCCATCGACCTCATCGCTTCTCTGATCACTCCACTCAACCAATGTTCTCTCGAAGTCATGTTTCTTGTAAATATTTTCAATCTTGAGGCTAGCCTTCAGGTTTCGCTTTTATATTCTAGTTTTGTCATCAGTAGTTTCAAGTCACGTGCTATTTGAAAGAGTTCCCCGCCATACTCCACGATTTTATTACGAGATTGTTGTCGAATCAAATGGCGTTAGGTATTTCATTCGTTCTAATAGTCGCCAAAAGTGCAAAATGAAAAATAATCGTGATCAATTGATTTTGTTGTCAATTTTCTTTTCCATGAAAGTCTCTCTCCTATTTGTTTGCAGTTTTTAATTGCAATGATAGAGAAAATTTGTTTCGCCAAAAAAAGATTGATGAAGAACATATTCGCTTTTACGTGTAAACCAGATGTTTTCCGCGTGTTTCGAGTCGTAAACGTTTATCATCATCTTCTTTAAAGTTATCTTCACGCCCCATTAGAACTTGACTGCGGTACGGCAATTTATAAGCAAAATGGAGGAATTTGTCATATAGGTAGCATATTAATTGATATTATCACTGTTTGTCAATCGTTTAGAAAACTGGTTTCGTTTTTTATTGTCAAGCAATGATGGAGATGGATCAAACGAAACCTGAAACAGTATTAAGAGTCTGGACTAGATAGGTTTAAGCGAACTAAGTCATTCAGAGCTTATTACAAAACTAAATAATATAAAATAATAAAATCTCTATTTTATATAAGAATTTTATAGTCTCCCACCCTCCTTAGTAAAAGAGCCGTTCGGACATTCATTCCTGCATTGCTTCCGGAGAAAAATCTCAATGTAGTAGACGTTCTTCAGGGGGTATTTTCCGATTACATTATTTGTGCCAATTCACATATCGCCGCATTGAATAATTCCCTCGTTTTTTTGGCAAACACAAATGCAAGTTTTGGGCAGACAAAAATGTCGAACAAAGCATCTAAAAATAGGTTGTAACTCGTGGTTTAATTAGTCTTAATCGCATTTGATCTTGAACCACTCTGCAAGTTATCTTTGCACAACCCTCGTGATGATTATGATTGGGTTGTTCGTCGTTTTTTGCAATGGCATTTCAACATTCACTATATATTTATATATTAGGTAGTTATCAAAATTGTTAGCTCATTTCCCTGCTCACCAACTTAAGTTCTCATTTTTTCAATTCATTTAATTTATTACCAGTGACTAAACAATTATCGTTGTTGTTTTTATTTTCGAATGAGTCAATTCACTAATTGTTTTGTCAGAAAATTTTAAATTTGTGGCTTCTAAGTCACAAACAAAACAATAAGCGTTGTTGAATCACAATTTGGATACCAAGTGGGCGGAGCGCGCGGCTTTCAATTTGTTATTTCATGGACAGATGTTGGTTACCCGCGCGCCCTTTTTTCTCTCTTTCTCTTTGACTTGCTCACTGTGTTTCGCGCCTTCTTGCTGGCACACAATCACATCTGCAGTAGGAACTCATCGCGAGACAATGTCTTTTCCCCTACTCGCTTCTTGCATGCATCCTGGATCGTTCGTTTATTGGTCTTCGTCGTGCTGCAGCGGTCACATGCCCATTACATTATTGGTATATTCATCTCATTATGTCGTTCGCTCTTCATTGCATTTCATCTTCTTTGCCATTTATACGCTTCCTTTTATGTCACGTGACAGGAATACTGTTTTGAACGTTCTGTGCACTTTGCCAACAAAAAGTAGTTGCGTTTTAAGAATAACAATATGCTGTTTACATTAGTCTTCAATATTTTTCGTTTCAGTCACTATTTCCTTTAAGCTTGTATTGAAATCCGGGTAAAGCTTTTCTCGTTTAAGGTAAAATGGCCGACGATGATGACGGTGTGTTTGAAATCAACGATTTCACAATCATCACACCTCTTGAGGAACTGACGGCTGGAATTGAAAGTCTCATCCAATCCTGGAATCTCGTTGGGCATCGCACAGTTTACCCTGTAATATAAATTTATCACTGACTGAGATAATAATAATTTTAGAATGGTTACACTTATGAAATTGAAATCAGTCGCACTCACATCTTAAAGTTTGGAGAAAATCGCTTGAAAGTGGACCACATGGTTCCAAGACCGGTAGCGACTAAACATATTTTGCGAATTCAAGGTTATTTCCTTACAGAAGACCGGCTTCACCACGGAGTATCTCGAAGAAGAAAAAAGTCTCGCCGAAAACTATGGTCCAATTTTCGCTGCTCAGGTTGACGTGGCAAATTTTCAGCAAGCATTCGAGTTGGAAGGCGATTTCGCTATTGAGGTACGGGCGATCTAGTAAATGAAATTTAACATTTGTATATTGCAGTTCGGATTCCGCGAATATCTTTTCATCTATCCGGTCGAATCAAAGGATATCAATACGGAAGACCAGTGCACAACGATTCTCGGTGCTATCAAAACAGCGATCCACTCAATTCGTTGGTAATAATAAAAATAATATTCTAAAACAATTACTAATAATTTTCAGTGAGCTTCCTTTTATTGTTCGCGTTCAGTCTCCAGAGCGCAACATCGCCATGGGATATGCGACTGATGGCAACATTTCATTCCAGCTCATGTCGTTTTCGCTAAATTCTCTCAGCAAACGTCACACCGTTCTTGCCGGACTCACCGAAATGTTCCGAAATAAAGCGGCGGTATGATGAAAGTTCCAGAATTTAAATAACGATCAAATAATTAAGATGAAAAGCAAGCATGAAGAGGTGCGCATTGCTTCTCGCTTTCATTACTTCTTCCCAATGAAGTATCAAGACTGGGAACGAATTCCAAACGTCAACAGCTTCTCAGTCACGCCCTTCGGACCGAAGAAAACTCTTCCGATGTAATTTGAGATACTTCATTCTGTCGCAAAAATGAATCAATTTTAGAGACGGATTTAATATCGTCACCACATGGAAGATCTTCCGCGAAGACGTCTACGTGGAGACACTTTCGCACTGCGACTTTGAAATCAGATTCGCGACTAGGTGGGCGGTTTCTCTCATTCTCGTCGATGAGAACTACGCCAGAGGACTAATGGGTATGCCCATATTCCGCGATATTCCTAACCTGAAATTCTATAGATTATGTGCTTTCCCTCTACATGTGCAAAGCTGGAACTCCATTTACCGATATGTGTGTGAAAGAAGCGCTTGGAAAATATTATAACATCCAAGTAGTTACAAATGCTTTGGACAAAATGTCATTCGTCAATCCGAGTGATGTTCGCATTGGTAGCACTTCTCATGATGCCGATAACAGTGGAATTGTGGGCCCATTGCCACCGGTATGTTGATAATTTTCTACAAGATCTGAAGAAAGTAAAAACCACAATGTTTGACTTCACAGAGCCTCATCAGCGCTTGGATTGGCATTGTTTTCGGTGAGGAGAATTCGGTTATGAAATTTAATGATGAGCTTGACTCCTACAACATGGCTCTCAGCATGAGAGGAGTCTACGAAAATGGCGACGATTATGTGGTAAATGTTGCGTCAACGAATTAGCAGAAAAAAAACTATTAAAAATTTTAGCTTTTTGTTGAGGATTTGGAGCAAGCATATTTTCAAAAGAGCATCTCTTATAGAGTGGTAATTTTTTCAATGTTCCAAATCCATTCAAATATGTTTATTTCAGAACTACAAACAATTTAAAGCGGCCAAAAACCCCTCGATAGCTTACCGATTGGCTGTTGCAATGACCAATGTCATGACATTGAAGGATGTCAACCCGAGAGCCGAGCCACAACTCTGGCTCGAATTTGTTCACCGTCTTCGTGAAAAATATGAGAATAATCAAGATATTGAGTATGATCGCATACTTTCTAAAAGCTTTTAATAATATTCTTTCAGCCCAACTGATCCTAGTGGAGAAGTCGATGTCACTAAATGCTTCCTTGCTCAGAAGCTTCAACTTCTTCAAGCTTGTGTTGTTGCTCGTCGCAATCGAATGGCCCTTCTGAACAATGCAATTGGAGTTCAGAATGGTAAACGTTCGAGAACCATATTATCAAGAAATCATTGTTAAATTTAAGATGAATTCTACGATGCTCAGGAGGACTTCAATGACAAGGAAGAAGAAAAAGAGGTTACTGATGTGATTGAGCCAAAAGGACGCCTCAAAAAGTTTGGCGGGGTTAACTTGGTGAAAAACCCGAAACAGCCAGTATATATTCCGATCACCCAGGATCGCAGCCCAATGACGGAAGATATGCTTGAAAAGCATACCGAATATCTCTTCAGCTTATCAGAGAAGGAGAGAGTCATTGCACAACTCGAGCCGCTTCGTAGCGACATGCAATGCTTCAAGGCTGCCAATCCAGGATGCGTGCTGGAGGATTTCGTACGCTGGCATTCGCCAAAGGATTATGATGAGAAGACTGGCAAATTGTCGGAGAGAATGCAAATCCCGGAAAACACCTGGATTCAGTGCTGGGAAGCTGCGAAGCCGATTCCTGTCATCAACCAAACAAGACTCTTCAACGACACCATGCTCGCAGAGGAGGTAGAATTTTCTACCAAGAAAATTTCAAATCTGGTATTACAGGTGTTCGAGCTTTTCGAGAATGCTACTATTAGCAAAGTTCGCGAATGGCTCAAGCCAATTGTATTCGTTTCTTCGTTTGAGCGCATTGTTTCGTCGTTCACTAATGACTCTGTACGCTATGATGCTGGAATTGTTCAAGCCGAAAATTTCTGTAAAATTTTGCAGGAAGCCACGCGATCAGGAAACAAGTTAGTCTCATAGAATTGAACAATTTTTCCTAAATCGTTTTTTTTCAGCGAGCAATACACTCAGGTCGCCAAATGGATGAGTCGAATGGAGATCCGTTCTTGCACTTCGATCCTTCTCAATCAATTGTTCGAAGACGCGGTGCTCCAAATCCAGGAACCGCACCCGAGTGAGCAACGCGTTCGCCACGTCGTCAATGAGCTCACCGATGCTGCATTCTTCAACATGTTCGGTGATCCGGAAATGAAAGTTCAAATTCCAAAGGGTGATCTCATTGTAAACCCACAGGACGAAATCGGGCGTGCTCTTGCCGTTATTGCGGGGACCGACGCGACTGGCAAAGAAAACTACAAAGGACCGGAAAGGTAATTTAGATTTTTCGAAAGTCTGTAATCATTATTCGTGAATTCAGAAAAGAGTTTGTGTTGACCTGGACGGGATCAAATCAGACCGAAACTGGTGCTGAGGAGCCTCCTCATCGCATGTATGCTACAATTGAGAACGAGTTTTCGCAAGCATGCCTTGACTTTGGAGATGTGGCCAATATTACCTATTACGAAAACTAATTTAGCATTAAAATGCATTCCGTTTTTGCATTAATGGGTGTTAAAATAGTTTCAAACGTTCGGGTGTGAGCCACGTCGTCTATTTCCCAAAATTGTTTCCATCTTAATATTGTTACCAATGTTCACTTTTAGTGTTGAACTTATCAACATTTTCCAACAAGTTCTGCCAATGTTTTTTTCTCATAATTTCTGAATAGTGGAACCATACGGTGTCCGATTATAACCCCGTTGGTATGTGCAGCAAAGCGCACTTGTAAATAATAATCGGTGAAAGCACAATATTTGTACCCCATCAATTTTTCTCATTAATTGTTGATTTTTGTATATTGATCGAATACATGCATCGCATCGCAATCAAATCATAACAATTTCGTATCCAATGATGTCAGCACAAGCATGATCCAAAACTATTCAACAAATTTTCAGTGTTGGGTAGAGAATCTTATCAGATTAGGTTTTTCTACGAGTTGAGCAAAGAAGTGCTCATTCAGTGGAAACCATATCCTTTTGGGGGATTCTGCCAAATGCTTATCAACGGTGTCGAAAAACGATCCCGCAAATCAAGGTAATTTTCTAAAATAACTAATTTATTGAATTGCGAGCGCAATAAAAAATAAATTGGCTGTGATCATAACTGAAAGTAAGCATTAAATGGGAAAGCCGCATATTGCATAATAACAACAAAAGAAACATCAATAACATGCAATGATCATAGAAAAATCAAGGGGCCACAGTATAGGAGATGACAAGTCTTTTGCCATTACCAAAGGTGAGGAGCTAAATGATATTTCTACAGCAGTATTATGATGGAAACAAACAATAAGTACAGAAAACTATCAAGTAGCATAATGATCAAAGATTTCACATTCCAGACCAATCACACAACTAGTGATAATATTCTGAATTATTTGATATACAGCGATATTGCAATTTTCGAATTGATAATTTGGGAATAATTAAAAAAAAAACAACACAGAGAGGAAGAAAAAGAACATAATTAGAAAGAATGTGTTTATGCAGCTCTAAACAATGTATAATTTCTACGAGGGAAAAAAGAGAGGGGGGGGGGTCTAAAACCCGGTAAGATAATTCCCGGAAAACGTGCCCGTCTTCAAGCAGAACCATGAACTAAGGGAAACCGTATGAGAAAATAACACGAGACGTATTTAAACAGCCGGGTCCCAGAAAGACGGAGACATCTGCAGCTGAACATTTTCGTAGGTGACTCCATCAGTCGTATTACTAAGCATCGACTGTCCGGAAACGGATTGCTGCATCTTCGCGCTGAGAAATGGCAACATTAGATAAATACAAGAGTTATGATTTTTCACTTACTTATTTTTGACTTTTTCTGTTAAATGGTATTGAATATACAGATTCTTCCCAATGCAGTAGACGATGAAACCCAATAGAATGCCTCTGTAACAATAAATTAATATTGGCACATGTCTGTAATTTCACATACAAAAGACTCAAAAACGTTTTCGGGTAGCGAGCAAAGATTGACGGCAAACGCGGATCAGTATGGACTTCAAGGCAGGTATTGTAGATCATTTCATTATTTTCCGGCATGATCCATTCGAGACACACGTTGTAGGACTGAAATATCAAACAATATGGAGTAATTAGATTGTAATCTTACATGATTCGAGATAAGGTTCTGCAAATTATGAAAACGGTAGTTTTGAAAAAGCGACAAATTGATTCGCTGCTTATTATGAATATTTTTTCCGTCATAGACGATCAAAAAAGCAACACGATCAACCGCCTTGATCTTCAAATTGTAGTTCCAATTTACTGAGATCGAATTTTCGCGAACAATGGGAAACATCAGCGTGATGTTTGGCTTGGTCGCTTTGAAGTTGATCTTACGCCTCGACCCTTTGCCATCCTTTGAAATGCATTCATAAACCCCGCTGTCGCTCTCCAAGACCACGTCAATTCTAAGAATAGAATTTGACATTACTCCTATGTAATTGGGTAAATGAAACTTACGCAAAGTGTTCAGTAGTAGCATGCGTACGATTGATAATTGGTCTCTTCAAAAAGGGGCCCATAAGAGAATGCATGAAGAAGTCAGTGGTAGTGTAGGTGTCGGTGGGTTCCGGCTTCGTCGCATGCACAACGGACTTGTTGGGAAGAATCCAATCGACGTTCTTTGCGTTATAATGCATCATACAGTGAATCCGATAGCTAGTTCCAAGCTCAGCTTCTTGATACTCTGTGAACGGCACGGCAAACTCTTCCTCGCATTTGTCAGTGATCGGCAACATGTTGGTGCTCAACTGGCTCAAATGAACTAAAGCTCCATTTTTGGTGACGCATGTCGCTTCCGCCCAATCCATAATGGTGACAGTGGTAATCTCGTTGAGCTGTTCAGCAATGCAAGCGCAGTCAAGACGAACATCAGATATGTAGATCGTTCGAAGTGATTCCATTATACCGAAAGGAAAGTAACGAAGACCGGTGCTGCGGACATCCAATCTAAAAAAAAACAATTTTTCAAAATTTCATTTACATTTCGATGAGCATACGTGAAAACAGCCGTCGAATTTGCTAAAGAATGCGATGAGATCGAGACGAGATTTTTGTTACCGGAGACGATCAATGTGTGGAGCATAGGCACGTGAGAAAATGCTCCAGCCTCAATAATAGCGATGTCACAGTGGCTCACATCCAAAACTTCCAAGTATGACGCGTAAATTGCAGCCTCTTCGATAATCTTAATGGGATTCGAACTAAGATTGAGAAAAATCAATTCCTCCATATTCTTGAGTGGGAGTCCAGGGATGCTTGTCAGTTGATTATTACTCAGATCGAGACGTTGTGTTGGCATGATGTTGGTGCTATCGGAGCTAATTCGTCTGATTCGATTTCCCGACAAGTCAACTGTATGAAGAGATGGGTTAATGTAGAAAATGGACGTCTGAAAAAAGAGCCCATTTTGAAAAAATTTATTGATGTATGATGTTACTTCAAGTTTTGTCAAATTGTTGTTTCGCATCCTGATAACTTCGAGTTGATCCATCATACGGAAAGTGTCAAAGGGAATAAACTGAATATGAAAAATTTGAAAAAAAAAATTCATTTGCTTTACCTCAAACCGATTTCCGCTCAGATCAAAAATCTTCAAATTTGGCATGCAAAATGCCGTGTCCCCAGTGATGGTTAATATCTCATTGTTGCTTAAATCTAGTACTTCAAGTGATGGAAACGCGTTGGAAATGTATGTGTTCAAAAACTAAAAAAAACGTCAATTCAATTTTTTAAACTTGCTGTCACCATCATATTGCTATTTGTGATTTTGAGAATAGTGGCTTTTGGGTAGGATCCATGCGCAATGTGATGCTCGCCGTTCTCATATGAGCAATTGTTGAGAATGAGGGATCTATATTTTTGGTATTAAAAATTTTTCAACATTATTCCATTTATATCGTTCTTTGTTTCCCAATGTTTCGTTTATTGGTAATTCCTCTGTCATCATGTGCATAAAATAATCGCTTACTCATTATTAATCATCCGAAAAAATACGAGCATTTAGTTTTATTGCTATGTAAACATTGCTCATATCACCGAACAACAAACTGCTAACCGTAGTATTCTGATTTATATGCATTTATCTGTTTTGATGGAAATTAGACTGGTCAAAAACAAATTTTTGAAAATTACATTTTTTTGTTTTGCTTTCAATTTATGCTCCAATTTCTGAATTTCGTCATTTTGAATTTTAATATTCTCGCCATTTCCAAAAAAAAAACTAATAAAATTTTTCCATTTGTCTGAATTCAATTTGTTTTCAATATAATATTGAATTTCCAGCCGATTTTTGAATTTCGTTCGATATCTAAGTTTTTCGACGATTAAAACATGAATTTCCTTTTAATTTTTAAGAGTAACCAAAAATAATTTTGAAGTTATTTTTGGTTACAATTCATCTAAATTTTGAATATATGACTACTATTGATTAGTTTTGATCTAAAAATTGGGCTTTTCACCATTGCAAGATACCAAAACTTAACTTCAAGCTCTTTTGATCTAAAAATGAACGAAAACAAACTGACTTCAGCTCCAAAAGTGAGGGCAGTTTGTTCATTGGAAAATTGACAGTATTTTCGATCTCCAAATTCTCAATGTCTTTAAGTTCTTTGTTCAAAGCTTGCAATAGTGTTTCGGATTGCGATGTGCTCAGTTCGTTGCAGTAGATGTTATTGACTGGAAAAATTTCTCTATTCGTTGAAGGGGGTTGTGCAATTCCTTACAGTGACAAGTACATTTCTCTGGGCAGGCCAATAATCCTGCAATTACGGCAAAGGCAAGGAGCAATTTGAGGAAATTCATCCTCAATGACCCTTGGAATTTTTGTGCTGGCTTGCGTTAATACTATGATCTGAAATAAAATAAGTTGTTATTGGTAAGAAGAAACAAAACTTTAAAAAGAGACGGCGCAAGAGATGTTATCAATATTATGTTATAGGGCCTGGAATTCATTGCGAGCAGATCGCGGAAAGGCGGAGCCTGAGCAGCCCCCGCCCATTTTTGAGAATTCATGCCTCGCGCGTGATTGTGCGCTACTAACCATAGTAGGAGGAATTTTCGGGAAGACCTGGACAAATACCAATAGTTAAATACAATTTTTAGAGAGAAATTGCGAAAAATCGGAGTGCAATCAACAAAAAACCGATTAAGAGGGGTGACCAGATGGCATTGGAATAAGGGAAAATTGAGGAAGATGCGCGGCTCGTAAAGGGAATCTCACATCGGCCACCCCCAATGCTAATGAGACGTCACGATTTTCGCGCATATTGACTAATGATAGTGTATGAATGTAAGCCAAATGGTTGAAGCAGCAGCACCTTGAGCACAATTTAATCCCACACGAACACACCACAGCAGAATGTTTCTTTTTTGCACATTTTCTTTTGTCTAAAGTAAAAGGACAAATTTTTTCCCTCAGATGTGCTATATTATGTTGGGAGGGAAAAGCTCAAGAAATAATGAGCAGATTTGCACGTGAAATTTGAAACGAAACGGCTACTCGAGGATCGCTGGTCATTTCATTTCACACTGAAGAACATCAGCGACTCTTATCTTTTTTTATTTGGAAAGTTGGAGTAAAGCAAAAAATCTGAAACCAAAGGGTCGTTAAAAAAAGTTGTTTTTGTGAGTTTCCCAAAAAATATATTTTGGAAAAAACGAGAAGTGTTAGGAAAATAAACTTGACGTTTTGTTGGCAAATTTAGCTACAGATTTTAGAAAATTGCATTTGACACTTTTGAAACTGTTGAATAGAAGCAGGCTTCAACGAAATTTGCTTATTCAAACTTTAAAGACATTCATGTGACCTTGCGCGAGATGTGAAAATATTTTTGAATTGACAAATGTGCATTAAAACTCCATAAGTGCCAGAAATACACATGTGACCCCCTCGGAAGTCTAAATTGAAGCGACAACTATAAGCTTTATTGTGACGGTGGTGTATCATTGACAGAATATTGCGCTAACACAAAGGCATTACAATCACAAAAATTTCGTTGACATTCGTGCAAAAAATGTGATATTGAAGATTTTTGCAAAAGATTATCGAATATCAATGCTGAACAATATTGAAAAAAAATGCGACATTTGTTGCTCATTGTGCCATGCTATTTGGGAATCGGTGTTCTTGTTAAGCACATAATAATTTGGCTACGTTTAGCTGAGAAAAAACACACAAACAAGCACAATTCCAATTCCAACATGACTCATAAAATCAGAAGCCGATAACTACATACTGAGGAATTGGAGGGAAAAACATGAGCGCATCGCATCATGCGTTGAATATGATCCCCCCAGGATCTCCAGCCAACCGCAACTCTTTAGTGTCCATTTGTCATTTTTAAACGATCTTATTGAAGAGAGTCTGAGAAGTAGATTATCATATTTTACTCTAATCATGACCCCCGCGATGGAGTAATCCCTTAAGGGAATTTGCGAGCGAATCGAAAAACATCTCTAACTCATGGATTTAAAGATAATTGGAGGAGCAACATATTTGACACTTGCAATTATTCAAAACGCATTCAACCGTGATGTTGATTCAATTTGCATACGAAAACTTGAAGAGGCGGCATTTTGAAGTGAAGTGGGAAATGGCGCCGAATGAGCTCCAATTTAGGTGGCACGTTTTTCAAAAATCAGCATTCTATTCACAGAATTTTCAACTGCGGATGTACAAGTGGGTCCACTTCTTTGCCGCACGCGTGTTTTGCAATAAATCTGATTTGCGGCGGTTCGGTCCGTGTTTTGATGGCGCAAATTTATGCCAAAACTTATCCACTCACTCAAAATATCTAAATTCTTTGCGAAAATTTGATGTAATCGTGCCAAATTGAACGCTTTCTTTTGTTCTTTTTCCGAAAATCTCAAATTGCCATGACAATACGCAATCGTGTGTAGTACGAAACTATTTTCCCAATTCAATTCCTTATCTTATCGAGTTTATTCTATTGGAAGATATTGACGAAAAATGGTGATCAAGAACAATTTTTTGTGGAGTGCGCTGATTCGCCTGATAATTAACATTATTTGGTTTCATTGAGTACATCAACAATTGAAAATTTCAATTGAAGCGTGCCAAACTATAACTACTGCGATTTTATCTCTTTAGATCTATTTTGAGAATCGTATTCAAATTCTTCGGTTACTGTTTCGTCCGAACAAAGTACGCGATATCGGTTTTCGTATGACATTTAACGAAAAATGCAATTTCTGTGAGTCACGTGCGTTGCCAATAACCGACGGCCCATCGCCTTTTAAATTTATTTTTGAACTTGTCAAAAACATTTTGTTGCTTAAGATGAGGGGGAGGAGAGGGGGCGACGGAAGATATTGATTTCAACTTCAATATTATTTTTAGCAATGCTTGAACAGATTCTATTTAAAAATTGAGGTATAATAATATCATTGTCGGACATGTGTGAAAATTCTTGTCCGCTCTTGTTTGGTGAAAAAACATAATTTCGGCTGCATTTGATATGCGAACGGTCATCGTGCGCAATACACAGGGTAAATTGTAAAAAAGTAACAAATGTAACGATGTTGGTCAGGTGCAATTTTCCTTTAATAATATTGAAAACGTATGTCTGAACAGGTTAGAGCAGCTAAATTGTTATCTGAACTGAATATTGAAAAGCCACATACATTATTTTCATTTGGGCTATCTCATGAATATGACGTATGTTATTTCTTCTTCATTTACGGAATTAAAAAACTTTTCATGGCTTCCCGATAACGATAAAACTCTGAATTTTAATTTAAAAAAACAATTAAAACACGACTTAAATGACCGTAAGCAAATTTGACAAACTTAACTACAATATGACACTAAGCTAAAAGCGATTTGAAGTAAAATAAATTAATAAAAATATTCTGATATTCAAAATACATTTTCCGTAATTTTTTTCCACCATTCATCACATAACTATTTTTCGACTTTGTCAGTAGGTCAAAAAGCGGGAAAGCTTTGCCGCGAGTTTGATCATAAATGGTGAGCTATTTTATGATAAACCTCTACATTGTAAAAATATAAGTTTCTTGCGATGCAATCTATTTTTTCCCGTCAAAAATACCATCCGTTTCGAAGATAGAAGCACAGATGGTGAGTCCGAGGTCAGTTCAAAAGTTCTAGAATATCAAACAAAAACAATACGGCAACATTTATTTTCAATAAGCATCGTAAATTAGGATAACTGTTTCGAAAATCTGTTTATTTTTCCGCCGCAACCAGATGCCCGAAAAATAGTTACACCGAAGGTTATGCGATATGCACACTTTTTGAGGACCAACAAAACTTTTTAAAAAATTCAAAAAAAAACTTGTTTTGCGTGCCTGGTATGTGAAAGATATATTTGGGCATAATATCAAAATGCACATTTATAAATAATCCATCAATCTTCGAAAATGGCACATGAGGAGGTTAAAATAAAACGTGGATGTCGCCATTTTCGGAATAGAGGAATTTCCCACATTATCTCAACAAGCCATCGCATTCTTATGAAGATAAATGATGGTGCATGTTTTGAGAAGTATAGCGCCAATGTCAAAACTAAACAAAACATGGCATATTAATCGAAAAAAATGATTCGAATTTCCGTTCAGGCTTGATACGAAAATAAGCACAACTCACGTTTTTTATTTCTGAGCTGTAGGTATTATTGCTTGACGGACACTATGTCGAAAACAACACGTACATCAGGAGAAACGTCAAAAGGAAAGAGTCGAGCAAGTTTGGTATTTGATTCGCGCCGACTAACAAGGAACGCACTGAGCAGAATCGGCTGCTAATTGGGGATGGGTGGTCCCTTCCCCCCGCCCGATGCCAAATATGATAATAGGGTGTAAAAGGCACAATTGCATACTGCCCAAATGTATTAAATGAAACAAGCGCAACATACATCAAAACATCAAGGAATCCATGCAATTCGGTCAATTATTTATGAAAATGTTCACATATCGAAAGCGTTTAGAGCTCTCGGATGAACGGACATTGAGAATTGGCATGCAATGTTTAACTCAAGAATTTTTGCAAAAAAATTAAGTGCTCAATAGGGGAGACATCTAACCTTTGAGAAATGTGGCAGTAATCCGTATTTTATGTGAATTTTAGAGAATTGCTCGTGTTGAAGCCTTAAAATCATCTATAATGAATGTTTCGCAGAAATTGCGCCATAAAATTCCTGGCAATTTAACTTCTCAACATTTATTTGCAATTTCAAAAAAAAACCGCTTAGATGGCTAGTCAAATTAAAGACAAACATAATACAATTCAAGGTTGAATGTCAAAATATTTATTTATTTTTAATTAGAATGAAAGAAACATTAATGAAAAGGCAAGGGGATTTGTCGAGACACCTGATTGTCCATAAAGTAAATGAGTGGAATTCTTATTATCATTCGGAAAACATTCAAAAAACATTAATGAAGTCATGAAGCGAGTTTGACTTTAACAGTCGGATGACGGAAACATAAGAGAAGCACAGAGATAAGAGAAACAAGAAGAGTGGAAGCCAAAAGAGCAGCAAGGCCAGAAGCTGTAGATGGTGATACACAAACATCAGAAGGTACACTGGCCTTCTGAAGCTCTTGCACCGCTTGCTTATTGCTCTCAGACCCTGCAACTGATTATTCCTTCTTTTAAAGCATATATTGATAAAATGTATACCAAGGGGCTCATCAATGTCAAAAACTGTCATCTTTTGGGAAATGACATCGACATCGTTTTCATTGGGTCCCGCCGATCGCTTTCCACGTAAAGCTGTTGGGCAATTATCGGAAGAACGCTGTTATTTTTTGAATATTTCAATAATAATAATAATAATAACAATAATAATTACTCTGCATTTTCCATCCTCATCTTTCAAACTCAATCGAATTTGGCATTGAAAGAAGACTGAAGGTTGGTCCGCGAATTTGAAAACCTTCAAATTAATTTTGGAATTACTGGAATTTGAACCGAATTTAGGAAACCTGAGACACTTGTCCTCCGGTTAGGTCACTAGTGTATTCTAAGTTGTTAATTAGGTACTTGTCAACGGCGCAGCCATTTTCGTCAAAAAGCTGTACTTCCTTTCCGGTTTCATCTTTGACGCTGCACGAGTGAACTGTTGCGCAAAATGGTGATTTTTCTAAAATGACATAAAAATACTTTTTAAAAAAGTCGGACAAATTTATAAAAATTATCTAGGCGATTGGAAAATTGATTAACTATTGAAATAATTTTGTAAAGTAGTTACCATTTTTGTTGACTGGTTCGCATGACCATTCATGGTAAACAATTTGTCCCACCGTGGCAAACTTCACAGGACTACCATTTTTATTCTCCGACAACACCTGAAATTTTTGTTCAAGAAATATATGTTTTCATTTGTATACCATGTAATTGCACTCTGGCAGTGGAACATTGTAGTCGATTCTCTCCTCAGTTGGATTGCTGCAATTAAAACCTTGCCTTGTTGGAAAGATTCATGTTCCTTACTCATTGAATATTTTCTTGTCGGCACTTGTGATATTTTCACTTTGCGCTGGATCATCTCCAACCATGACGAATACCCTTTTCTCTTGTCCTTTTCCGATTCTGAATTTCATTTTTCTAAAAATTGGCCCTGATGAAATTTCTTACTCGACGTCCAATTGCTGAGTTACTGTTTTAGCAGCTTCTGAGTAGAAACATTGGACTTTATAAGACTTATCAATTTTCGTTATAAACATCTGCAAAAAATTATCCGAAATAAATTACAGGGTTTATCAGATACCGGATGGAATGATATAATGACTGTAGTGGTGATCATGATCCCACGTGGATTATTCTGAAAAACACAAATGGGTTTGTTTTTACAACATTTAACATCAATCTCAATTTTGAATTTTCCTTGACCTAGCTGTCTGTTCAGTTTCACGCAAAGTTTGGGATCTAGTGAGGCGAACGAAACCCGATGCGACAAAAAAGGAAACGATCCAATCCAATTACGCAATGGTCAAAGACAACTATTCATAGTAACTTGTAGTTGTTGTCCGAATTTTATTTTTGATGCGCATGTTTTTTAATGGGAATCATGGTAAATTTGGCAAAGTCGTAGAGAAAAGCCCTTGACCTGAAAGGCTCGCCGCGTTTTTATGGGTTCCAAGTGTGCGTTTGAAAATAGGATGTACATTGAATTAATTAACATATGCAAGAGTTCGTCGAAGAATTGAAAAATTTTGAAAAAAAAACTCGTTTCATTTTTAATGTACACTTCATTGTTGTGATTGGTTATTCCAAACCACCCTCAAAACCCGTTTTGAAGAATTTGGAAAAAAAACGCCAAGGTTGAACGGTTATAAAAATTAAAAGTCATGCGTTGTCTGTAAGAAAAACACACCGATCGCTGGCGGAGAACATCACACTGGCTGTACGGAACAGTTAAATTGACACTTGGTTCTAATGTGGCGTCAGTTCGACATTGCTTTGTACTGAAAAATATTGAAATGACTCTTGGAATTAAGGACTACTATACCTATAGTGCCCTTTAACATAAGAATGCCCTTCAAATGCTTCCTTTGTTTTAAAGTGAATTGTGAGGCTTTCACTTCCACATAGAATAACTGGCTCACCAATCAGACCATTGTCTATTTGCAATGCAGATGAGGCAAAGGAAATCGCCTGCAAAATTTTGTTAATTGAAATTGCAAGAAAAAAAATGGAAAATTCATAAAAATATGAATTGGATTTTCTGTAGCGTTACAAGCGTATCAATTACACCGATATATTGTATGATAGTTATTTATTTGTGGAAAAAAACGCAAGGAGAATTTTTCAATTCAAAATTCATTAAAAATAATGAAATACATTTGACTAGGAAGTCTTTATAAATGTTACCTGGAGTATAAGAATTATCTTTCGCATGATATCGGTGAACAATAGGCGCGTCGATGGATGGATTAACATTCAAGTGGCAGTGACGAATTCAAGAGTGGACTATACAGGTCACAGTTCGTGTATATATATATCACACTGACATGCACAAGCGCAGTAAATTCGTGCCAAAAAACACCGACTTCTGACCCTGAAATTAACCAACATCGGATATTCGGCCTAGATAGTGCGTATGACAAGTTGGAATCGAATTACGGCGAATTGATGAAAAACTGTCATCGGCATACATTGACTTGAACTGAACCGAATCGAAGAAATGAATTGGAATGAAGTTAACAAGGTTCGAATTCCGGTGGTCTGTGGGAGGGTCGGACCGACGATAAATAGCAAGGTCGTAGAACAAAGATAGGTAAACACGACAATTGATTTGAACGCATATGTTGCTTTACGGGTAGAAAATTGGCAGGTTGACGCCGGCAAACGAAAAAAATTATTTGAGAATAGTGCAATTACATAACATGAAAGGTCGAATCACTCGGGTCAAATTACTTGAATTGCCACATTTTGGAATGTGTCATTGACTTTTGAAACACGTGTATCGTGGGCCAGATAGCTAACCAACAACTGAAAACAACCTAGCCAGTAATAATGGCAAAGAGTATTTTAGGAATTATCTAGTAAGATGGATGAATGTTTTTTTGCAAGTCAAAAATAATGTGTAAGTGAAATGTCATGAAGAATGTGTTAAGACCTTGGTGGGTACCGACGATTATTTCATCCCTATACTGTTTTTTTTGTGGTGACGGTAATAAAATGCCATTATCTAACATTAAATGGGAATACGGTTCTACTAGTGAGCGGAGAAAAAAATTATATTTTCAAAGTTGTGGCTTTCCAGTTTCAGGAAATTCATGCATGCAACTGAATCTTAGAGGAAAAGTGAGTATCATTATACAAGGTGAATGGTGAACCTCAAGTATCTCGCCATATATCCGCATAATTAGTCAGCATCCTTGTTTCAAGTTGACAAAATGGGGTTTTCCGTAGGCACGTGAGATGAGAAAGAAAAAGTAAAAGGAAGAAACTGATCCGAAAAAATGAATGAAATAGGAAATGTATAACCGGTATTAACATGTATCAATGATGGTCTCCTCTTTTTCCCCACATAGCGTGATTTATTCTAGAAATGTAATAGTATTGAAACCGTTCGTAGATTCACATAACAAGGTTTCAGTTCATTCTTCTGTTTCAGCTAAACGTCTGATATAACTACATATCCGTACAACAAGAAATTTCCATGTTCTCATCTTCCGTCGCTGCCGATTCAGCAATCGTGTTATGGAATTTTCGCGAAGAAAAAAGAACTGCCGTAACTTGGTTATAGCGTGTCACGGCTATTAAAAACAGTACTCGTGCCTGACATAAAATTAAATGTCCCTAATTCCACATTGTGTTTTTTTTGCAAATAAAGGTCACATATTGAATTGTGCAAATTATTTAAACTAACCCTCAAGGTGGTCACAAATTCTAATTAGTGTTCGAAAAGGTTTCATTGATAGTTTACTTTTTTTCTCAATTCCCGCACGCCAAGTTCAATGACACGACGACATGGTGAGAATAATAAGACAAAAAACAGCCATTTTCATAGCCTTGACAGTAGGAAGGAACATGCGGCGGCGGTGGCTCACTGATTGGTCGCATAATGTAAATCAACAATAGGAATCTTGAATTAATTATAGTGGGCGAGGTCATTGTGTTGCAATGGTAGTCGGTAGACCCTTGAAGAATGTGTGGAAGTTTATTCAAATCAAATAATGGAATCAAAATGAAAACACTTCAGTTTTTCTAAAAAAAAAATATCGTGTGTTTGGGAATACTATATGCAGGTAATTAAAAACGGAAGCGGAAAAGTAAGTTAACCCAATTTCGTATATGGTAGTTAAGAAGGAAGACATACATATATAATTACCTTGCTTTTAAATCAAAGTTCAATGGTTTTCGGAAAACCATTAACACATTGAGTGACTAATTTAAGTAAGTCAAAATTGAATTAACACAACGCATGCAGTTTTAGTTTGAATTCAAATCAAAGGTGTGAGGCCCTGGTCAAATGCGATGGACAATATGACACAAATTTGGGGAGGGCAGTTCTCGTGAAGGGTGAACGCATCACATGCACCATTTGGCCTGTTGTTGATTTAACCCATATTTATCTGTTCGTCGTGTTTGAATAAAGCTCCAGAAAGTGAGATGCGCCCACCGGCACGCAAACATTTACTAGTTTTTACAATTGAGACTGCCAAAAATGGAACGACAATTTCTCAAATTCTCGGGTGGAAGATTGAAGTAGCTGGACTCGCAAACAAACACCGTCTGTTGGAAATGAGAAGGGTCAAGCTTGTTTGAAACCTTGATTGCCGGAGCTACCTGTACCGACAGATGGTGTTTGCCAGTCAATGTGTAAATTGATAGAAGGCTGTGTCATCATGCTACAAACAATTACTGACGCCGAAATGTGCATGTAATTGCTATTGTTTGACAGATGGGTGACAAATCCAAGTAGTTCTCAACAAGGGTTCTATGCGGAAATTGACGAAATGTTATGATTTTCATAAAAATAGACTTGAAAAAGTATAGGGTTTCTCAATTGACTTATAGTTGAAATGAACAAATTCAAATCAAAGAACGACTGGTTATGCTTTTTTCTGGAACAAATTTCTTGAAGTGTACAACATTGAAGAATATAAAAGAATCGATTTATCAAAGTTAATAGACCGCACTCTAAACTAAACATTGAAAACTGCAAAAAACTTAATGACCCTTTTGCCAAAAAAAATAATGGCTATTTAAGGTAAGCTCCACCCACGAGTTGACAGAGGGAGACAACAAAATTTTCGATAAATGTTGGGCATAACAACAAGGAACACATAACAAGATGATTGATAGGTAAATGACCATATAATTTTCAGTTTTTACACTGTGCCATACTTTCTGTGTTTTTCCAAAGAATTACAGCGTTTGCGGGCATCAAAAATCAACATTGACGATAGAAAAATAATCAAGCAAGTAAGTGCGCATGTATTTACTCTATAACTAACCAATTTATTATTAAAAAATGGGCATAAGATATCACCAAAAAATTTTAGATATTTTGATTTTTTTCCTCTCACGTAACAAAATGTACAAAAAAATGAAATAAATTAGGAAATGTGGCATCCTACTATAATAAAAATTAGCGAATTTGCAAAAACATTTTTTTTTGCCGTTAAGCTCCTTGGTTTTGCTCCAGCATTGCCATTTGTTGAGCCAACTTGATGAGGACGCCATAATCGCTCTGAAAAATCTTTGATGAAAAAAAGGTTATTATTTTTTCTTACATAGCCATATGATCCATGAGTACTCTTCAAATGAATGTGAACCTCAGTGGCATTTATCGACTTAAATCTGCAAATCCAACAGAAGTGTACTTTGCAGGATACGCATTGAATATGGTGACAGCCCTTGATCTGCAAACATTTGATTGAAGTTGGTTAAGATCAATATGACAACCTTCTGAATATATGTGCGACAGTTCGGGCATGGTTTGACTGATCCCGGGGGTCGTTTGTCCCCAAATCTGCTAAGATTGTCATGAAGAAGGGTTAAGCCTCTAAAAATTTAGTATTCTAATGTTTGATGCTAATAAGTCTCACGATCTGAATATGGCGCAAGTTTTGTCATGCGCACGCTGACCGCACTCATTACAGTAACCTTGTTGACAAACGTAGCATATCTCACTTCTTTCGGCGGCTCCTTGCTGCTGCAATGTCATTTTTCTTACAAATTGCGAAGTAGGAAAAAATACTCCAAGAATTCCGTAGCAATTCGATGTTGGGCACAATTTCAAACAAGAATTTGTTCCAACATTCCAACGCTTTAAAACTGCTTGGTAAACTGGTCGGAGTTTCGTCACGACATGCACATTCACTCGAATAGGTAGATCAACAAAAGTGCGCTACAATGTAACAGTTCGACAATTGATAAAGCAGTGTCGTTACCAGAATATCTCCAGAGGATATTTGGTCGTGGCATTGCGTGGCAAAACAGCGAGCCGGTTCACCAATATTAAGAATGGATCTATTGATCAACTGATCAAAACATTTTCGGCAATAGACATGACCACAAGATTCCATTTGCACATGATTTTCATCAACCTCGTTTGTGCAGACCGGGCAGATAGACACTTCGGAAAGTGCTGGGAAATTTGAAATAAGTCTATGGAAAACCTATACAAAATTTCGTATATTCAAATGAAATTTTTAAGAAATTCTTACCATGGTATCGATTTCTTTAATAATCTTCATTAGAAGATCATATGAAGCATAACTTCCTTTAAATTCTAGAACATCCGTATTCTCTGCGTCAACAGTGATTGAGCTTTTTAGCTGTTCAGAAAGGATTTGAATAAATTGCATATCTAAAATATGCCAAATTTCGTTGTTAAAGGTCGGCGATTGAATCGGAATTTTCGCGGATATTGTGATAATTTCTTTTCTAAATCGTAATATTGAAAACTATTCAGATAATTGTTGTGTACCTGGTATTAAACGATTTCAATGCTTCACGGCACGCCTTTACACTTTCCTCATTACCATAGATCGAATAGGATTTTTTGAAATTATTGACGTCAATGACAATATTTTTGAAAAGTACGTTCTCGACGTGGCGTAACCACGCAAGTCCCGTTCTAAAATAATTATTGGTTGCTGTGTAAAGTCAACAACAAACCCCTGAAGCAATTCTTCTGTTTCCTCTTTTTCCGCGTTTACAAGTAACGGGGTTAGTAGGTCTTTGAAAATTGGGAAAATCGACTCAACGAGCCTAAAAAATAAAAAATTTCCGGTTTAATAAGAATATCTTAAGAAGCTTACTCTTTACTCCATCCTTCTAATCCGATCAATCCATCGTCATCAGTTTCATTAAAATCGTCAATTATTCTTACCGCTGAAGACTCTCCATACTCCCCTTTCCGAAGTGAATCTTCTCGCTGAAATACAAATTCTAAAGGATTAAGCTGTCGTTAAAACGTACGAGAATGCTCCTTTTTATGGCACTATTCATTTCTTCAATTTCAGTGTTCATTGCAATTCGAACGTTTCGAGCTATTGGGATCATTAACCGATATCTTGGATAAATGCTCATCTGGAATCATTGTAATTTTTTTAATATTTTTTAATCTAGAAAATCCAACCTTCACAAAACTTGGTGGCAAATGTTTTCTCAGTGTTTGAAGGAAATTTCGCATATCTCCGCGATTGTTGAGTTTTCGCACATAGCTATTAATACGCGCCATGTCAAAAAGAACGCGGAAACGAAGTTGGCGCACGTTGACTGGTAGATCAGATGGGCTTTCCAGTTCCACTATCTTCCAAGGCAAACTTCCGTTGTCGTCATATTCTTGTAGAGATTCTACTTGAAATTTTTCGATCATTTTTTGCAATCTTAAATCAAACAAGAAATTATGGATGAGAATTGCATTGATTGCTTCAATCGGATTTCCAATTGCCAAATCACTGAAATTTTCAGACTTTTATAAAAATTGTTTGCTCTTTAATACACATGTTCGTTCGAAGATGAATGACGAAGAAGCTGAATATTCATCCATTGTACTTTGTTCAAATCTAATATGCGACCGATTAGCCATTCGGCTGCCTTCTCATTATTCAGATGAGATGGAATTTCAGACACTTTCATCTAAATAAGTATAATACATAGTATATTTGCAAAATTGTTGAACCGTAGTCATTCCGAAGCGGAACTGGCAGCAATCCATTGTCTCATCTCTATCACGATCATCAAGTAATTGAACGGTCATTTTATGATGTTCAAGAATTCTCACAGTAACTTCCAAGTCTTCAACTCGTGCTACCTAGTGAAGATTCTAATTTCAAGAAATCTCTCAAATCATACCTTGAGAATGACTGAATCCGTAGGAATTAATCCGTACTCGTAAGCGAATTCTAATTGGAATGATTCCATTTTACCTTCGTAGTCAATTGTCCCAATTGAAAAATTTAAATCCGTCTGCGGTTTCACAAATTATAATGTTATTTTTGGATTGCGAAAATCATACTTTGAAATATTTGGTGCTATCCCTTATTGCCTTTTGCATGTCCTTCTTACTCTCAAAGAAAAGCTCGTACAAACTACCCATACAAATTTCATGCTTTTGGTATATCGGAATCGTCGTTAAAAATCGATGTGCGTTTACATGGTTCAAGTGATTGACCTTCAAAACGTTTTGTTCTTACAATAAAAACCTTCCAAATCTTACCGCAATGGCTTTTGGAAATTTCGTTCGATAATATTCAATAGCAGTTTTATCCTCCGGTATTTTTTCGTTGAATATTAACGAATGCTTCTCAGATATTTTCACATCAAGACCTTTTCTCAGCGAAAACTGAAAAATTTCGCATTTCATTGTTGTTTTCTCTAAGTAAACCTACTGTATTTTGACATCTAGGAAGGCCTAGGTATAAAACATTTTCGCTCGATTTATTGAACCGTTCAATTAAACGCTCCACTTGTTTCTTTGCATGGCATTTTTCTTCATTTAGGAATAAATACAAAGCTCCGCTTTTTGAGTGGCTCACAGTCCGCAATACCTTCGATTGAAATAGTTTTTGCAAACTAGTCTGAAATTTTTGAATTTATTATCTTTTTTAATGATTTTCCTTAATAAAAAAAGTAAAAAGTAATTTTTTACCTTAAAAAAGTAAATAATTAAAAAAAAAAGAATATTTTTAAATCTCAAAAAAAATTGACAGACTGTCGGTACTGCAACGCTGCTCTACTCGACTAGGGGGCAGCTAGGTTTGACGCGTTATTAATTGTACACAGAATTGTACGCCATTTACATAACTACCCGTTTATAAATAGACTTGACGGGTATTTTCAGTACATCCGGATAAATGCGCGGCTACCGACATTCGGTCAAGAAAAACGTAAACGTCCCGGCAAGCATTCTTTCTTGCAAAACCAGATGTCATGATAAATGCAAAGATTTGATTGAAATTGCAGAAGATAGGGAAAAAAAGAGATATTTATGGTGATGAACTGTCATCTCAAAAATTGAGAAGCGTTGGTCACGTCATTATGAAAGACGCGTCTCTTCTCTTTGCTGTCTATCATATTACGAGAAATGATCCTCTTCAAGTTTGTTTCACATCGAAAAACACCGTTTAATTACCGTAACCAAGACATGTTTCATATACAGAGAATGTTTCTCACAATTCCCAATATATGCCATTCTCTTAGAATTTTGCTGGACTACGATAATCTAGATTTATTTCTAAACTACCGTACTCGATTCTCATCCAATAAAGGATTATAATGAAGACTGCTTCTCAAATCCTGGTGTGCTGCTGATCCCAAAAGCCAGTGTTCCGCCTTGATATTTACCTAAACTGATTATATGTATGTATAGCGAATCTTATAAAATAATACTGGTTGTATGAGTTTGGACGAAATGCAATCAGCAAATTTCTTTCTCATCCAAAATCTTATCTCCTTTTCAGCTGCCATCAACTCTTTCGGTGATAAGATATAGCTCATTTCATTGGCAAATTTGATATATTCTTTTTCCATAGACTGCAATAATTAATCAATTTTGAAATTTCATCATTTTTTTAAAATTACATTTCGTATCATCAGTGGGCAGTTTAATTTATTTTTAAGAATATGCGGAGCCTTCACTTCCAGATCTACCATTTGAACTACATATTTGTCCGGATCGTGAATACGGTACCACTGAAAATACACAGCTGCGTAAAATACAACGTTCCCTCAACTTATCAACTCACATCATTTGTTTCACCTTCCGGATCATTGACATCTACATAGAAAAATTATTTTACTTTGAATAATTTCTTAATTTTTTCATACCTGGCCCGTATAGAAGTCGCTGACGTGGCGGCTCTAAATCCTCGTCTTCTGCCGACGACTGGAATATAATAAACATAAATTTGTATTATCAAAAATTATTTATTACGTCGTTATGCCGGCGTCGACGAGACGCAGCCATTGTCTGTAAATATTTGATTGAAACTTTCGATAAAAAAAAATACGAAATTTCAAGAAATATGTAGGAAGATTTTTCGAAATTTGAAGTTTTCTAAAAAATATTTTCTTAAAAGCCACACGAATGAACATCATAAAATAAATATGTAAGGTTTGATCTTCAAATCCGATTTAAGGATTACAAGGTACTGTAATCCTCTTAGAATTAATTGTCAAACCATCAGCATCCATAAACTATCACAATCTAAAGAACTTATCCAGGTGGATCCATATTTAATTTGTCAAACTAACTAATATTTCGGAGAGAAATTAGAAGACGACAAACATACCTACCGTAACCCCACGGATATCAAATTGGACAAGAAATTCTCGGTTTCCAACTTGATGCGCATTTCAATCATATTTTCGGGCATTTATATACTGATCACATGGGTTAAACATCAAATATCTTCCCATTACGGTAGGCGAACAGCAGAAACTCACTTGAAGCCACTCCCACAAATATCGCAAGAAATATGCGAGAAATACTTTTTTTTATTGGTGAAAAAATGTAAGGGTGGTGAAGAAAAGGATTATAAGATAGTGAGATAAAAAGATAACACTAGTAAAAATAATATTAATATCTTGAGTTCATTTTTATAACAACTAGAAAATCTGTGAAAGTTTAAACCGCTTTCTCAAATATTTATTGGGCGTTTTGTCCCAGACATCTCCTCCTATTCCGTTAATGTGAAAAATGTTGTCGTGTTCAATCAATCTCCGATAATGTTGATAGCGACGATTTATTTTTGACAGGAAGCCTGTACCTTTTCATTTCCTTTTAACAAAAAGTCGGGACCGATTGGTTAAAATTATACTATTAGTCTTTTTTATATTTCATATTGATGTTCTGGCTTGTATAATCGAAAAAAGGTTTTCATCAACATTCGAACAAAAAAGAGAGAAGAAGGATTCCACGAACTCGTAATTTTGAATCTTTGAAGGCTCATTGAAAAAAGCAATTGAAACTGCGGAGAAATATTTACCCTTTGACGTTTAAGCCTATTAATGGTGGCACCACCGCCCAAGACGGAACATGCGGATTTGAATGTGCCCCGAGCGAGCGCCAAATTTTGGCTTGATACGTGGTTCTTGTATTAGGTGATTAAAAGGGGTAAAGGATTCTAAGCTAAAAAGTATGAAAGAAAAAACGAGATTCAGATTTTTTTTACTCGTTTTTTGCTGAACTTTAGGCTGCTCTAACGAGAAAATCGCGCATGTGGACACTCCCTAACCGCAATACACTATTCTGGCCGGCCGGCAAGCCGTTTTTTGATGCACTCTCGCCACACACGAGCATGGAAGCGCCAGAAAAATTGATTATTTCTCTCGGGGTGTTTTTTTTTTTGCTTTTTGTCGTTGGGAGAAAAGGGTTTGGGACTGGCGGGCAGAAACAAATAAAAATTGATGGCTCAAGGGCGGCGCGTACACCCCCGAAACCAATAATACAATTTCCCTCAAAAATGAAGCCAATTCTTTAGAATTGGCTCAATTTTCGCTTGAGGAAGGGGAAGGGCGAAGAGGCAAAAAGCCCTTATAAAATCTTTTGTTTCAAGGTTCGTCGGGATTTCCAATTGATAAAAACCGAAAAAAATTGTGTAGTAAGCGAATAAATCATTGGAAACACGGGAGTGCTAATACGGAGAATGGATGGCTGAATAGGCATTCGAACGCATCTAAATGCACATTTGCGGAGGAGAATGAAAAAAACCGAATGGAGGAAATAAATGGACGAAGCTCAACACGAAGACAAGGGAAGCGTGAGCATATTGATTTGACGCTTCGAGCTCCAAGGGAGATAATGGAACCGACAATTATTTTGAATGGAAGAGCTTGGTTGCTATGGGTTTCTGAAAGGCAGAGGGATTGTAATTTTTCTAATTACGTACGAGGAAAATAAGGAATACCTATTTAAATGTATTTTTTAAAGGATGAATGAGGCTTGCTTTTCTTTGAGACTCTAGGAGGGAACCCATAAAAATGAGAATTGTCACATTTTTTATCGTATATACATATATATTTATATATAAATCGTAAAATAAAATACAACGTATACGCCGTCAGATGACACAAAAAATGATGAACAAGGAAATGGTGAACAATTCTAAACAATACAATTGGCGCAATGAAAAATGAAATGAAACAAAACAAACCCTGAGACGTTCGAGACGGAGCGATGACGGCGAAATTCACAATAATTGGATCGGCGAAACATTCGGGATGGAAGAAAATTTACAAGACAACATAAAAATGCGTCAGATGTGGTGAGGCGTTGAGAGATAGCATTGAAGATAGGGAGATGGCAAGCAGGAACGTCGACAATAATTTTCATGGGAATTCAATAGGCTCTTTTGAAAATTTTTAGGTAGAAAATCTTTTGAAAAAGCTAGACACATCGAAAACCCTTGTACACTTGAATTCAACCCACATTTGTCATACAACCCTTACCTCTAACCTTTTTACTATCGTAAAAAACCGAACACCCTGGGTATTTGGGGACAATGGTATTTTTTCGAGACAATATTTAAAATTTTAATTCTAATAGTGCGAATTCATAATAATAGTTTTTACGGGACTGCCTTACTTACTTTGGACGAATGGTAAGCCCGACAGTTGTGGTTGAAAAATTGTGGTTACGCAAAAATATGTATTTTTTAAATTTAGAATTATTATATGCCACCGAAATAGCTCAATTCCCAATTCTGCTCCAAAAAGTAAATTTTACACTATTCAATGATTGACTATATTTATTATAGTGAAGTTATCATTAAACAATGTGAGAAAAAAAAAGCTGAAAATAAATTAAACGTATCGGCGAGTTTTGTTGTAGACGTAGAAAACGATGAACCAGTACCACACCGACACGAAGATGCCGAAATCGTATCGGCTCTCCTCGGGAACTTCGAAAAGGTTGACAAGAGAGTTGTAGAGGATTGTTCTTATGTGCGCTAGCATTCCGAGTGCTATTCCTGCAGCCATTTTTTTTAAATGTTGGTAATCAATAATAAGCTTTGTCTGAAGGGTTAAAAAATTATTCGGATATTTTTGAGGAAATTTTCTGATAAATAAAAATCATTAGGTTTCGATAATGATTTCATTTTAATCGAAATTGAATTTGAATTAATATATTTCGAAAGATGCAGGAATTCACAGATAAGTACCAAGTTTTAAAATCAAATTTGATACATTTTTAATCGATTTCAATCGCTTTCTAAATATTTTCTTCGATAAGTTGGGCTTATAGAAAAATTGCATTATATTAAAATATCATACCAAACAGGTGACATTTTATAATCAATTGTGGCATGTCCATATTGCTTGTCGAACCTGCTGAAAATAGAAAATTATATTTCGTTACAAAAGGAACAGTGCAAAGATGCGAAAATTTGAATGACGTGTCATACTGTCATTCAGAAATAAATGAAAAGACAGATAAAAAAGAAAAACTACTCAGAAAATTATCTGAGTATTTGTAAGAGCAAAGAAATGAAACAGCGAACTTGGTTAAGTCGTCAGAAATAAAATAAATCATCATGGCATAGATACTACCGACGTGATCGGCAATATCGATTGTTTTTTTTTCATATTTCAAATGTTGTCGACAATTAAGGTAGAAATTACAAGCAAATTAAGGGAAAACAACAAAATAAGAGGGACCTACAATTTTGTCGAGAAATTGTAGATATAACATTTTTATTGGCATCCTATTTTTCGCACCAAATATACTATTCAAATTTATGTTCCTGACAGCCAAATAGCACGCAATCAAATAAAACTAATGAAAACGCGAATATTGTTATGTGCGAAACACTGGGACAGAAATAATATTAATAATAATAATAACAATTTAAAGTGTGATGAGAAAATATTTTCAATATTTTGTTTTGAATATCAAAATATGATTTAAATTTTTAAATATTTACATTCTTTCCTGTATACATACAATCTATTTTTTTTAATTAATTAAAACAGCTATTTCAAGAATGTTTTTATTCAAAATTAAGACAGACCAGCTATTTCCAACTCCCCATACCAAATAGCGATGATCAGGCAAAAACAAAATTTTGGATGATAAAGACAAAAATGAAAAAATAGCACACGACGGTTTTTAGTTGCATCTAGACTCTGAGAATAATAGTTAAAAATTGATTATCATCATTTCATTGATATATTGTTTTACCCATCGAAAGAAACTAAAAGAGAGTCTCAAGGACATAAATGATAACAGAAAGTCAAGAAAGCTGAAATTATTATTTTTTTTTAGTGAAAGCATGAGATTAATGGCGAACTTGTTCAAGATATAGTGGATTGTCAGCGTAACTAAGAGAGGTACGGGTTGCTTATGTGGTCCTTGTCCCAATTAATAAGTTTTTAAATGTCTGTCGGTCACGGAAATATAAACGCAAAATCCATCATTAAGTCAATATTTTTGTAATGTTTTCTTTCGCTTAGTGTGACTCATTGCCAAGTTTTGCTGATCCGTCATCCAAAAATTGAAAATGAGTCAATTGTGCCTTTGTTTCATTTTTCCAATTTTCGTTTATATTAAATCTCCACTTTTTTGTCTAATTTATTCCAGGTTTCAAATTAAAAAAAAAAACCAATTAATGACAAATTTCACGATTAGTAATTTTAACTAATCAAATTTAACATTGTCTTCGTGAATTCATTGTTTTTATTAATAATTCTCAATAAAAATAAACTATAAATTTAATTTGTAACTTTCGTACTTTAATTCGTAATTTTCCTACTTTAAAAGTTGTTTTAAAGTTAAACAATGTTTACTCAAAAAAAAAAACATTTCGTGTCAGTCATTAAAAATTCTATTGTGTAGAGTATTATATTTCAATAATTTTCAGCATAAATCATTAGAATTCATCCTAGCTACATCATTGAGAAATATTTTCAACTACATAATTTTTGAATATTTGGTCGAATGCGGTTTCCCATATTCTATGAATCATTCCCAACTTTCGGCGGGCTACCAAAGGTGGCGCAAGATGGTTCCCATTCAATGTTTAAAATCGTCCCAAATGTCGCTCAAATTTTTGTTTTTTAATACCTGAACGGAATTTTCCAAAATTTTATACTAGGAATAATGGTATTGATTGGAAATTGATCAAAATTTTCATCTAATGAATTGAAATGTAAATCAATGTTTTTTTTTTTGATATGTCGCGTCATTTCATTTATTTAATGGGGGCTACAAACGTCGTGTTGGCCATTTTCTACAGTCATTCTTGACCAAAACTTTGTATTCATTGATTTTTTTTTAATAATCGTTTCGTACTTACTGAATTTTTGTCATGCTCACACTCAATTTTTATGAAACCATATATAATTTTTTAGGTCGTGTACTCAAACAATCAGACAATGGACTTTCGCCCTCTTATCTTCAGAAGTCAATGGCTTGGTGAGAATATCTCTACTAGAAATTAAATTGTCAATCATCCTTAAAGGTATCGCCCTCGGAATCTTGAGCTACATTAGAACAGTCATTTTCAATACTCTTGTCGACTATTTCGAGATATCCGCTGATAAGAAATACAGTGTCGGAGTTGTTCTCACAGTCGTTTTTTGGTTTCTCGTGTTCTTCGGATACAACAAAGTTCGCGGACGTATTTAAATACTTTGCCAAAATTCTCTTGCGTTTTGTATTATCATAATTTAATGAAACATTTTTTGATTTTAAAAAGCAAAAAAAAAACAAAAAAGCAAAAATAACATTTGTTAGCCCAGTAATGATCTAGACGGTTTGGACCCTTCCATATTAAGGTAATCAAATTTCTTAAGTTCTTTTTTATTATTTTTGTGTAGTTTACTGATAGCTTCTTCATTTTTGAATTTTTTCAGTCAACATTTTTTTCTTTATTTACAGACTCTGAAATACAATAAGAAAATTATTCAATTACAAGATATTTCTTTTCATTTTCAAAAAAAAATCACAGAATATGTTACGTTTCTATCATTAGAAATTATTGATAAATATATACAAGTAGATTTTGCGCAATTATAATCAGTGATTGATTATTAATCATCAGGAAATCGATTTTGTCAAAATGTTAGCCCTCTTGTTTCTATTTTTTTAAACGTAACTGTTAACAATAAATTTAAATAATAGTAAGCGGCAGCGATTATAATAGATATGTATATATGAAACAAGCCTAAATCCACAATAATGTTTACTACTTATTTCCACACTCAACCAAATTTCAGATTATGTCTTGGTCCACCCAAGCCAAGGACCGAAAAGCTTGGAAAGCTGTGGTTCGCGCCTCAACAGGCGAAGGACGAACCGACTAAGTGACTAAGTAAGTAAGAAAATTTTCGTTATAAGCAAACTAATCTATACGATTTCGACAAATTTTAAAATGCCCCCTATTTAACAATCATTGAATCATTGCCCCCTATTTAAATTATATCGCACATGGAAATTGGCTTGTTGATGCGAGTTAACTTGATCTCGAGACCTCATTACAGTTAATTTTCAAATGGCTCGTTGCATTCAATTATTCAAGGAACGTCAAATAATTCCATGGCCGAGCTCAAGTAGTCATGTTGTAAAAACATCTTACCGCCCTCTATGTATACGCATATGAAACCTTCAGATTTCCCGTCACGTTGTAAGTTTTCTCACTTTCTGCGGCTGATTTCTGTCCGTCTATCTCTATTCCTTCACATTCTGCCGATGAATTTTCGCCCTCCAGGAAAAAGTCAAACATAATAAATTTTTATCCCTTTCGATTTCAATGGCTTGTACTTGGTGGAAGTCAATAAGAGACAACATTGGACTTGAGTCTCGGGGACGGCACTTCTGTGTAAAGTTGTTGAGATTTGCTCACTCAAACAGCGTGCAAAGTTTGCGCTAGTGTAAACGGTGGAGTAATCCTTGGATATCCCTCCCTCGTCAATCAGTCACCGCTCAGCACAATCAACAAGAATGGTGAGTTTCAATATTTATCCAATATCGTCATTTTTCGATGAGAAATATTAGTCGAACGCCGCTAAGAAGAAGTCCTCAAAGAAGCGCACGGCTTCTGAAGCCACTCAATTCGATCAGAAGACTATCCAAGAGTTCAAAGAGGCTTTCGGAATCATGGATCAGAACAAGGATGGCGTCATTGATAAGGTATTTCAAATTCAACTTGTTCTGCTGTATATCCGTAATCTTATTCTGTTTAGAACGACTTGAAGGATTTGTATGCTTCGATGGGACAAATTGCCTCGGACTCGCAGATCGACGCCATGATCAAGGAAGCTCCAGGACCAATCAACTTCACGGTCTTTCTTACCCTTTTCGGAGAGCGGTTGACTGGTTGGTTTTATAATATTTTTCTCGATATTTGGAAACAATTCTCACAATTAGGAACTGATCCGGAAGCCACTATTGTTGGAGCTTTTGCCATGTTTGATAAAAAGGATTGCGGAAAGATCAAAGAGGATGAGCTTGTCAGAATTCTTCAGAACAAGAGAGGAGAGCCTTTGGATGAAGATGAAATCAAGGCCATGTACAAGGTTGATCTTTAATACAAAAGACCGAATTCAAATATAAATATCAGGGAAAACCGCCAATTGAGAATGGAGAGGTTGACTACAAGGCTTTTGCCCACCTCATCACCACTGGAGCCCAAGATGAGCTCGCGAACGCTTGAACAACACAAGCCCACAAACAGCTGCAACCACTTTGGGAGAAGCGACAACGATTATCCAGAAAACGTCGCGGTTCTCATTCCGATGACGAATCTCCTAGTTTTTTGAAATCGTTTTTATTTTTCCGTGTGATTCGGCGTTCAGACAGCGCATTTATTCATTCCGCGCGTATATCTTTTCATCACTTTTTTCTCAATTCGCTGCTCTTTTTTCTTAATCTAGGCGCTGATATGCACATGAAATTTATTCATTGAACGTTTGTTGGTTTTTGCATAATTGGAATTTTATGCACCGTCTGGACGCGGTTTCACATATTTTTTCTTTGATTGACAGAATTTGGTTTGGAACACTATCTACCATCATTTGGCAGTTGTTGTGGTGCGGTGTTGTGTTTTTAATACTCTCATATTGTGCGCAAGACCAACATAATACAAATAAAGAATTTCAAATGGATTCAACAAGCTATTGATGGATGTGCAGTGTATAAGTTATCCAGGCATGTGAAAATGACTTTACAATTCGGTAAATCGACCAAAAAATGCCAAATAAAGGTAGGTTTTTGTTTCCAAATGTATCCAAATGCTCTTCGCTGTATTTTGGACTGTAAATACTCCTTTATTAATTTGTTCATTATCATGCTTATTACTTTTTGTTAAAACGTTAAAATCAATTTCATGTGCAACCGCAACCTGGTTAACGGTGTTATGTTTCTAAAAATAAACCAATGCACGTATATTTAAATGTTTTTAACAAAAGTAATTTACCTCGGAAAAGAAATTCTCAGCTAAATATTTTGGAACATGGTATTATTGTCTTTTATAGTCAAATTAGGCAATTCATTGATATTTCCGATGCCACTTATTTTACGTTAAAGAATAGTTGAGCTTATGCGACTATTCGCGCTTGTTTCAGAATATAATTAAAGATTAAAATAGATTTTATTGTTAAATACATGTCTTTCATTTGAGATTGATTACATTAACACAGTTCAGTCAGAAAAAGAATGCATACATATTTTATTGTCACATTTGTAGGAAAAAATGAAAATGCTAATGAAGAAAAATCACAACTGGTAGATATGCAGAAAATTTCATTTTATAATGGAATGTTTGGTCTTATGATCATGGCTGCATATTACAATGGCATCTGAAAAACTATTTGGTGCCGATTGAAAATTAAAATGGCATTTTTGCGATCGTGCTTTCCGGACACACTGAATACGCGACCAACTAGGAAATATCGATCACTGACGCCCAGTCCCAAGGAACTGCAAGTTAATATTATTATTTAGCTAAAAAAAATGAAACATACTTCAAATCTTCAATAGGCGTCACAAAACCCGAAATTGATCGCAAGATTAGTGGAATAGACAGATGACTTGTTTTGATTTGGACCTGCCTTAATTTCACTGGGATTTCTCCGTTGACCCAATCCTATAAATCTTTGAGTTTAATTACAAATTTGGATTAATGACTTTACCCTCAGAAATTCAACAAAGCTGTCGGAAAAAAATCGCGTCGAGTTAAACGTGAGGTGTTCCACGTGAACACGCTTTGAAATTTCGTATGAGACGCGACTGCCCCAGAAGAGCACTGAGACATTTTCGCGATCCTAAATACTGACAATGTTTAATCGAAAATTGGCAATTCTTTGCCAACCTTCAAGCAAGCATCTAGAGTATCAACATCCAATTCCGTGAGAGTCTCTTGCATGAAAACAAGATTGACCTGCTTTGGATTAATAGATTCCATGAGTTGTTTTACATGCAAGACGTTGCAGCAAGTAACCTCCAATTTAATGCAATTTTGGAAGTTCGCCATTGGGATTTTGTCAAAAATCGGTGTGTCCTGAGTTAAATAACATCAGTTTCCATTTTTACTAATAATCCTACTGGCTTTAAAAACAGCTTGAGGTATGAGATTTCGTAATTGGCACGCCTAACAAAATGGTGAAAAAGCTCATACGGGTCTTCGTAAAATTTGACGTCTGCATCGGCTGGCCTGACAGGTACACTGCTGCAGTGTGATTAATTAAAAACGAAAAACTGTTTTAACAAACTAATTTGGGTCCATAATACTTTTTGGATCACCAAAATTGAACGTCGAGTTGTCGTCGCCATTTGTGAAAAAGACATTATAAAAATCCTATAATCGCTTCGAATTATTTTAATTCAAACCACTAGCTGAATTACTTCACTGATGACGAAAAGCTCCTCAATTCCCGCTACATCAATGCGGTGTTGAACGGTTGGCTCAAGCTCATTTAATTTCTTGTTGCACATAGACAAACGATTTCTGAAGTTATGCTCCAAAATAATTGCATATGATTAATTTTTTTTAACCTGGTTTTGACACAACATTTTTCCATTATTTCAGCAACAAGGCTCAACGGCAACTCGGCGAACTTTGGAAATTTTGGAGCGTCGCTGAAATAATATATGCAATAAAAATAAAAGGCATCATGGTAATTACCTCTCTTCTTCATCTTGGTCAGAATCATCAACATCAAAGTTGTTCATATCCTCCACCATATAACGAAAAAACTCATCCCGATACTGATTCATGGTGCGATAAAATCTGAAAATTTAAAGCTATAATATTGCTTTCAAAAATCTGAAAAGTATCTAGAAACGGGAAATGTTGAGGAATTGTGAATTTTTCTTGAATCGATAATAAAAAAGTTTTTTATCGAATGAATAAAATTAAAATTAAAAAGATAAAAGATAAAAGTGTTCAATGTGAAAAATCGACTGTCAAAACTGCGAGTCATAGACAAAACATAAGGAAATGCGGAGCGAGACCTGCCAGATACGCGACGCGGCGCAATTTATTGGCAGCCTGCCACAACAAGCAAGCCAGTATATTATAAATTCATGGCATGCGGAAAATAATGTTTTCACGTAATATTGAAAGTAAATATGAGTAAAAATTAATCCACAGATGGTATTAATCAAGAAAAAAGGGAAATTGTTTGATTATTGAAAATTCTATGAAAATCAAATTTCTACGAAAAGTAGATGCAAATCCGTGTGGAGTACATAAATAAACGTGCGATGTTTATCGCCGGAGCAGACATAATTCGTTCATATTTGAAAGTGAGCATTTAGGAGAATGATAATAAGTGTATTGAAACAAGTCAAAATAAGAACATTATTATGTAGGAAATGAAAAAAAAATAAACATTTTTGAAATAAAGAATCATAATTTGAAGGTGTAAAATTACGAAAAACGTCTATTCCAATTTTTGATTTTTAAAGAACTTCTTCTTGTATGAACAAAAAATGTTTAAAACAAATTGACGCGATACAAATAGTATATTTTATTTCTGTCGGATTCTGGCCGGCAAAACATTTTTTTAATCCTTATATTTTTTTACATAGATTAAAATTGAAAAGAACATATACCTATATTTAATACGTTTTGGATGAATTTAGCTTTGCATTTACTTTTACTATTATTAATAATGCACATTGCAACCTTCAATATAATTCTTCGGTTATATGCATGTTCGTGGTGCAGCGTCAGTCATTTTGGTCCGATTTGCACACTTCACCGAATTAAATGACCTTTTATTTTTAGGAACACCTGTTTTTTTTTTGCAAGTATTTGAATATAATAAAACACTGTGTTCGCTCCCGTTTGACAAACTTTCTTTTCAAAGTTTTGCAGACACAGAGGTTAAGACGTAAATTCCCTTGACGAAACTCATACTCTCAATAGTCGAAATTTCTTCAAGTATCAAGTGGCTCAAAAATTTCTTCAAATATCAAATAGCTCATAGTTCTTTTGGCAATCTATTATTTTAAAAGGAGATATTTAGGGCAAACCGTGGTTCTTCAAAAGATAGATTGATGCGATAATACACAAGGCAAATGTTTCTTGCAAAACCAGTAGTTCATATTTGAGAAATAATAAAACTTGAGATTTTCTAAATATGAACGTTCAATTGGGGGACCATTATTGATTCGTTTTTTATACGATTGTTGTCGTACATAATCCAAATAAAGAAAACTCCACCAAAAAAGGCTATGAAAATGATATCTTCATTTATCTGTTTTCTGAAACAAAGCTTATACGTAAATGCCTCAAAAAATGATTGTCATATAGTAAAAATTGTAAGAATGTTCAAGTTAGTTATAATTTACTTCAAGCAAACGTTGTAGATTTACGCCGTGCATCTGCTTATAGTTTTATCTGCATGAGAACAGTTTTGTTTTTTTGTTTTGGAAACTAAATTAAACATATTAAATAACACCTAGAATGAGAAATATATCTGAGCTCGTTGGAAAACCAAGCCTAAAACGCAAGCTTTTAATTATACCACCACACATCAGTGGCCGAATAATTGATCATATTTAAAGAAAGATTTTGTGAATTCCATATTGCAGAAACATAAGCGGAAGTTTCTAGCGCTCCATTTCCATTCATATGTTTTCTGAAAAAAATCATTACTCTACGTACCGCTAATCATGATTATGGACTATCCTATAGACATTCATCATTGATATAATTTTTGGATGCAAAAGTTCCTGTTCTCATTAAAATCCGATAAGATATGATTCCTTCAAAACAATCACTTAAGCCGTTTTTTTAGTATTCGGTTTAAGGTCGTCAGTGATCATCGTTCCACGGACGACCCCGTGAAACCAGAATGCAATGATAAAAGATGATGAATTCTTGTCCGTGTGAAGTACATGAAAGGAATTGCGTCGCGGAGGCGACGTCGAATCGGTAAAACCGAAGGACGGTGAGTTGATCTTATCCAGTTTTTTTTCAAAAGATTTAATCGTAAGACATTGCTGTTTCGCTCTTTTATCGTAGCGGTTTGATCGAACTACGATGCGAATGTGAGATATCGGCAGAAATTATGGTCGAAATATGTTCACACTTCATTTCGACGATTGATCGGCCTCAATGTATTCTCACCTTTATTTTTCTCTCATATTTTTATTACAGGAAACCGATCCCCAAATCATGGATGAAATTGACGAAAGTATGATATTTGAAATGAACGAAAATTTGATGGCTGAAAGCGACCAAAATAGGATGGTTGAGGTTGAAGGGAGTATTGGTTCTGAAAACGACGACCTCATGCTTGTTGACGATATACCCTACAATGGAAAGAATTTGTGCGATATGCCGCCGGAAATTGTTGCCCAGATTTTTAAATATTGCCCAGCCAAATCCAGGTATTTCGGTCGAAACTTTAAAAAAGTGTTTATGGATGCTTAGAATGAACTTGGCGCATTGCTCGAAAAATTTTCTTGCTCTCGAGTTGACAATTCCTTTTCACGTTGTGTCTGCAACCATCCGGACCTTCGATTCAAAAGTAATTGTCAATGTATAAATAAATAAATGCAGATGAAACGCTTACAGGACACTGTCAGTCTGCATATTCAGCTAATTATCGAAGGAACTGGAGCCGAAGATGCAATCAAGGCATCTTATAAGGAATGCCCGTTTTATACAAAACATCCATTTCTTTTTCTGTACAGAACACTCTTTCTTTTAATTAAAAAAATTATTGAATTCAGAGGCTACATTTATGCTCATAATTACGATGTGTTGGCTCGAAATTTGTTTCAGCGAGTTGTTCGAAAAACTACGATTCCCGAATTGTATATCAATTCGGTAGGATAACTAGTGTTTTAAACTTGAAAACATATAAATTTTGATTTTAAGGACTTTTTCCTCTCATGTGAGGAAATTCAGATGGTGAGGGGATGCAAGGATTTGACCCTTGAGGCAAACAATGAAGAAGACATGGTGACATGCTTCAAGAAGTTTGACACTGATGAATTCCAACATCTTCATGTCGTCATGGATGATAGTGAGTGGATCAGGAATATTCATCCACAGGTTAGTTATTTTATTAAAAAGCCTGGTAATATGATGCGACTTTGAGATAACCAAAGCTAAGCTGTTGAACCTTACCATGTGCGTAACTGAAGAGGTATTCATGAGTATTACCGCGAACTCGATTGCCGTTACTGGTGAAAATATTGATGAGCAAATGCTTCACAATTTTGTCAAGGTATGTTCACCTATATTATAAAAACGATCATTTGATCTCTTGTTTACAGCGTTGGGCGAACGGTGAGGGGCCAGAGAACTTTAAATGTCTCGCTATCACTGATACTGACAACATCGATTTCGAAAAGGTCATCGATGGATTGGACGCCGTGGACTTTGATGAGGAAATGGAAATGCAGTAAGAACTTATGAAACGTGATAAACCAAAAAAAACTGAAATTGTTTCGATTTTTCCGACATGATGAAGATGAATTTGACGACTGCTTCCAAATCTTTAGCAATGTTTCATCGAGATCCGCCACTCTATGTCGTGAGATTATGGAGGATGAGATACTTTTCGTTGTGACTGGCTCGACGGATGATGACCAATTGGTAATCAAGTATCCAGAGACTTGGGTATAATTATGAAACATGTATTTCTGATAATATTGATATAAGAAAAATAAATTTAAATTTTTTTGTTTAAATGCATTGTGCAAAATGGCCGTATATTAGTGTGTAATAAGTATACATGTTAAATGAAAGAATATGCACTTTATATTAAAAAATTTTATATTAAAAAATTTTTGAAATATGTAGCTGGGAAATTGTATTAAAAAGTGATAAATCTGAATATTCGGTTTTCAAAAAGCGACCACGTAACAATGACTACTCAAATTATTTCCCACAAATCAAAATTTTCGAATGATCGGTGAAGTAAGCCGGCTCTTCACGCGATGATAAAGAAATTTTTTATGTTAATGTAGTTAACACCAAAGTGCGATAGCCCTTCACTGGTGATTGGGTTTTTTTGCAAATTTTCAAGCTAATTTCAATAATTCTGATTTTAGAAAATGTGCCTTTTTTGTTGCTTCAAGAAAAAAGAAAAGTAACTAAGCTATCGTAAAACATCTTTCACTTTCGACAATCCGGACCTCAAAAACATTGTCTACAACTGATTTCTCACACTCGCTCAAATCATTTACACGGAAAAAATTACAATAAAAGTATCTAGCTTCGTGGCTTACAAAATAGTCATTCTTAATATTTTATGCCATTATCCGGGTTAAAAATGTTGAATTAGAATTGACTATGAATGAGATTTATTACTAGTTATTCATATATCGCCGATTTTTTTCAAGATGTATTGAAGAATGTTCTATGAAGAACTACAGGGTGTCATTTAAGTTCCCGCACAACTTTGAAGACGTATATTTCTGAAACTAAAAGTCCAAATCAAACGAGACTCAAAATATTATTTATCTATAGTACAACAAATAATTATCTATTAACTCTTTTCGATTCGGCCTCCTTTCGCAGCTATGACTTCACGGAGACGCTTCGGGTAGGATGTGACTGTGGTACGCAGGTATTCGATGGAAAGATTGTCCCACTCCGCCAGTAATGTCCTCTTCAGAGCCTCTACACTTGAGTGGGGTTTTGCGTTGACCTTCTCCTGCAAGACCCTATCACGGAAAAGTCAAGCGGTTTCAGATCTGTGGAGCAATCAGGCCATTCGGATGACTTGATGAAGTCGGGAAAATGGGTCTGGCACCACTCCTGAGTAGTTTTGGCAGTGTGGGCGGGTGCTCCGTCCCGCTGAAAGACCCATATCTGCCCACCGAAATGCGTTTGGGTCCAGGGCATCACATGCTTCTCCAAAATGTCCCGAACGTAGACTTCTTTGTTCATTTTCACTCCCTGATCCACGAAATCCTGGGGGCACATCCCGGTTGAGCAGATGGCACCGAAAACCATCACACTGGCAGGATGTGAGGCTCGATTAATTGTTTTTCCTTTCTCAGAAGCTTGCTGGGATGTCTGGGCAAGTACTCAATGGTTTTGTGAGTTGAATGCCGTCTCCACAGTGAACAGCTTCTCGTCGGAGAAGACAGTGACGAGGTGTTGTCCAGACCGCGTGCGAGCAAGAAGTCGTTTTGCTTTTTCGAAGCGTCTCTGCTTGTTGACGGCCGATAGAATTGCCGCTTTTTGGACACGATATGGGGTCAGTACAAGCTTCGTTTTGACGATTTGTTCCAAAGCGAAGATGCTCATTCCCATGTCTGACGCTATCTTTCTCATGCTCCTGTGGGGGTTTCGGCTGATCCTCGATTTGACGGCGTTGATCTTCTGAGGAGTGGTTACTGAGACGAGTCTTCCTTGTCTGGGACGGTCACTGGTCGTATTTAGCTCCTTGAATCGTTTGATGGTGTCATAAACCGTTCTACAAGGCACACCGACCCGTTGAATGATGTCTCTCGGGCTCACATTTTGCTTATGAAGTTCGATAATGGAAGCGCGATGGATGTTAGCCTTCGCCGTTTCTCGGAAGCACATCCGAATGAGGTGAAACTTGGAAAGTAAGTAAAATATACCTTGTTCAATAAAAATAAATTGTATTGGTGTACGAAAAGTGCGTTAGCGAAGCTCTACATGGCGTCAAACTTTTGTGCGGGAACTTAAATGACACCCTGTAATCTCATCATTGAATTTTCACATTTGCATTTATTCACACAGCGGAAGTCAGCGTGATAAAAAAAATAAGAAAATATACAAAAAAAATTGACAAATAAAAAATGAATAACTAGTAATGCCAAAATGCGAATGATGTGAAGAATGATATGACATAATAAAAAAAGTTGGGTGAGATAAATTAAATATGGACCAAAGGATTTAAATTTCTCTACCGGAATTATTAAAAATTGCTTTATGCAGTCATCAAAAAGCTTGCATTTTTTTTCTTAAATCGTTTATGTCCAATACCCTAATTGTTGGCCATACCGAGGAATGAAGACTAAATGGCCTAGAAAATCTTTGAAACCACGGCCTCCGCTGAGAAATGAAAGAAAAATAAAAAAAATTGTGTTTCCTGTTTCTTCTGAATGTTGAAAAATCTAAAAAATAGTTTAAATAAACGAAATATCAGAAAACTGTGAAGAAAACTTTTCTATTTCGCTTTCTAGTTGTAGTTATTTCAAATGCACGCTACGCGGACCGCGTCGCGTCTCTAGAGGCCAATCTCAATTAGAAGGCATATTCAAATCATTGAGTTTTGGGTAGTACAGGCCACTATTTGAATCAAAAACAAATACGGTAGCCAATTTTGAAGACATTGCCGACAAAATGATGCTAACTATGAGGCATATCATAAATTATAAAGGAATTAAAAACTAAACTATGAAGAAATAAAATACAAATACAAAATAATGTCAATGAAAAATTGATATTTTTTGTTTTGAATAATACCATTTTTGATTAGTCTCATACCGATGGAAACACTTTATTGATTTTCTAACTTTAGGTGAGATTTGAAGGTTTTGTGGCCTAATTAAACTTCTCGGCCGCACCAAGAATGTTTCATTGATTTTCGGATTATCATGGCTTTTCCTCCATTTTCGAAGAGTTAATGATTTTCTGTCAGAATTTGTCAATTTTTTCTTTTATCTTTGCTCCTTTCATGATTTGCAAATTTAAAATTTTTCAGTTTCAAAACAATTGCGCCGAAAAATAATTTAAAAAAAAAGAATAAGCTCACTTTTTTTGGGGTAGACTAGCAGAGCTGGGAAGTTTTGTCTATGTGATTTTTAATTTTGAAATATTTGAACTTAAAAATTTGTTAGGATAATATTCATCAAAAGGGAAAATCTGTTAATAATGTTATCTGTTAATAACTTCGAGCATATATATTAACGTATATGTTATGTTAACGTTATTCAATATCCGGTTGTATTATAACGGCTTGAGAACATAATTTTCAAATATTTCTTTGGATTGGATATATCAACAAAATCTTCGCTCATAAAAAATTGATAAATTATTTTTCAAGGGTGAAAACATTATAAGTTATAAAAAAATGCGATAATAGATGTACAAACAATAAAAAATGGAAAAACAAAGTTATTATTAGAAGAATAACTTTAATTTTATAATTTAAATGAAAATACACACTATTCAAAAAACAACTTCAAGCTAGTTTTCATAAACATCATTTTCGTATTTTTCAATAAATAAATCATTTTTATTCATTTGTCTATTATGACAAAACGTAATTTATGAGAGAACAGCAGGCATGATGTTGTGAAAAGAGCTTTATTTGGTTAAAAAGGCAAAATTCTGCAAACAGAAGAAACATCGAAACCGATAGAAGATATTTAAATATCTTATCCAGGATTATCTAAAACAGTATAAACCTGCTTAATGTTGGTCTCGCAGCAACGCTTTGTATCGCGTAATCCATCAATCTGCCACCCACTAACTAAAAAGGGCGGTCGGCGTTTACGGCCGTCATTTTCGCTCTTAAAATAATGATATTATACCGATCACGAGTTTGTAGAAATTTTTCCAGTAGCGTCAGAAATAAAATATAGATCTCCAAATCCAAATTATCATCTTTAAGGAAATAAATAAATTAGTTTTCTTGTTACCTCAGTTTTAAGCAAAAAAACTCTTTAAAAAAGATAAATTTATTAAATGATCATTTTGTTGATAGGATGACCAGTGTCTATAGCTTTTTTCGTCTTTGCCCAAAAATCAATCTTAAAGTATGAAACGAAAATGTTGAAATTAGTGTGTAATCTAACCTTATTTTCAATGAACTTACATGATATTTCTTCAAAGCTTTTGGCATTTTTTCATCTAGGTTCATGAACTATGTATATATTGACTTATTCAACTTGTCTCTAAATCATTTTAAATTATTGTTTTTGTGTACTATCATTAAACTAAAAGTTAGTAATATAGATAGAATAAGTCGTATTGTTTGAAAATTCAAAAAAAAAGCACGAAACCGAAAATCTGTACAAACATGCCATAAATTTAGTACGGTAGTTTTACCGCGCAATTTAAAAGTTTTGTATTTATAAGAAAACCAGACCTGCGATCAGGTAGGTAAGATCGTATCTCTAATCTTTTGCGACACCATTTGATTAATTAGTAGCTGACGAACAAGAGATCGTTCATCTAGCAGGCGTTATAAATAGTGCTTGCGGCAGGGAACATGTCATTTTTCATTATTTATCTAAAATACTTAAAATCGAATTAAATATATGTTTTTTATTAATAAGTTTAAAATCTATTGTCGAATTACCAAAACATTAAGAAATAAAAATTGAAATACAGAAAAACAAAAATCTGCAACATCAATTGACTAATTTTACTATATGAATATTTTGGCTCCGGGGAGGGTGTGCAATGAGAAGATTAGATAAACTTGAGGCCACGATAAAATAGATTGGACTAAGTATTCTCTCTGTCAATATGTTGCTAAAGTGCGACCAAAGTTTATCGATGCTCACGGAAAAAACCGAACACCTCATATTTATTTCTATTTTCATCTACTAAATCTGTCCATAAAATAATTTATAATTTGGTTGCGTTATTATTGCAAACTTTTGTGTACTTCAGGGGTTGAAAAAAAAGTTAAACCATTCAATGGAGAAACAACGGTAACGGATTTTGTGATTTAATTATTATGTTTTTTTTTTTCAGGGAATGCCTTAATTCGTTTGAGTTCAGAATGTTATTTAAAGAACAGTTCGAAGTTTTTTTAAAGCTTTTGGAGCCAACCGGTTTTGTGGACACTCAAGTAATAGACCTTATTTTACAAGGAATTGAAAAGCCGACTTTAGTGGATCTGGTAAGTTTTTCGGAAGCACTGCTGAAAATTCATAACTGTACGCTTCAGACCGAGCAGCTGCAGACCCTCATTTGGCACATAAGGGATTTCTCTGTCGACGAAAAGATGTTAAAAAAACTGCGAAAATCAAGTAGTGAAATGTTCATATTGATTACTGAAACGTCTTATTTTTAAGCTGAATGTGTCTTTTCTGGATTGAATCAATATGATGAGACAATTTCCACAATTCTAAACGATTTCAAAAAATCTATTAAGTGGCGTGAAAGTATTGCTGTGAAGGTGAAATTCAATTATCAACAAAGTAACCAAAATATTTATTTTTACAGAGATGTGCCCTCAAATCTTGTAGTTCTAGAGACCGGCCAGAGGAGAAATTACGATGTACACATTGTTCAAAAGTATATCATCAAGAATGTGCGATAAAAAATCATTTACTAAATCACTTTGTTTATCCACAATCCCGGTAAGCATAGTGAAAATACCTGATAATATTTATATATTTAATTTAATTTTTTAGATGGAAATGCAACAAATGTGATAAAACCTATAGAGACAGCACACATAGTGAACCGCTGGAATATTGGCTGAGGAGTGAAACAGTAAAGATAAAAACAAAAAAAGATATCGAAAAGAATATGAAAGCCTTACAACTAAAAAAGCAAAGGTATGCTATGTTTTGAGATAACGTTAATAATATATAATTATGTCATTTTAATGTCTCCTTCATACTCAATCATTATAAATTTCAGAAATCACTCAAGTAAACAATGCAGAAAGCTTCGCCCTCGTCCAGAAAAAGCGAAACTTTATACTAAATAAAGATCGAAATGTAGAATTTGATTCGATATTTCATGTCTTCTGTGGTTGTTACATTTGTTTCAGCTATTAATAATTATTAAGAAATAGGAGAATAGATTTTGATGGTTTAAAATGAATTATTTCGTTATTTTTTAATTGTGATTTAAAATCCCTTCAACTGTGATTTACTGTAAAATTTAAATCGTCGTTGCTCAATACCAGAAATCACGAGACATAACTTTGAATCTGGCTTGAGCTTAATAACATTATCAGCTATTTTTTCATTTATCTTTAACTTTTTTAATTCTCGAACGTATTACTTGGTATTGTTAAAAAGAAAGTGAATTTGCTATTTGCGGATCTGGTGCTTTGAAGGAAGGTTACATAGTTAATACATATTCTAAATAGGTGATACTGTGCATGGCGGCAATGCCGTGTAGATTTTATCTTTAGATATATTGTGACATAATACGATTGATTAGAATACATATATAACAAACTAGTGAAAAGTGTAACATTTGTCCCGAGATTTGTTTCCTTAATATTTGCTTATAGACATTCTGCTCAAAATTTTGGATGACTACGTGTAATTCTGAAATAAATTTATCACTGTTAACAAATAAAGCACGAATATGTATAAGGCAATTCAAATTTATTAGGTGTCTATTTTTTTTTAAACCAATTATTTCAATTTTTATTGCCTATGTTCACAATATAAATGTCGTACACCGTTCATTATTTTTCATTCATCTACCGCATTATGTCCGATAACGGAACTGATCAGTAAGTTTTTCTTTCAATTTTTCTAAACCCAATGATTTTTTCAGGCTTACCGCTGACATCATTAAAGAAAAATTGGCTATTCTCTTCAAATTCGTCATGAATCATTTCTACCACGAAATGACAAGTGAGAAAATTTACGAGCTCCACACTGAACTTGAAAAGGTGTCCCCAATTCCAATCGTTTGGAGACCATATCAATGGCTTCCACTAACTCCAGTTACATTCACCATAACGTACGCCATTCCACCGCCAACAAAAGATTTTATATACAATTCAACGATCACCGGTCTTTTGCAATTCAAATCGGACCTTCGCCTTTTTCTTGATGTCGCAAATTTCTCTAAATTCAACTTCAATGATTCAGCGACCACCAATGTGATCAGCTTTGCCAAATACGCAGAATTGTCAAAATTTCTCAATTACTGTTTCCACAATCTTGGCAGAGATTACGATCGAAAAAAATTTGAAGCGGTTGCAGTTCCAAAAAAGAGGGCGAGAAAAACACAAACAAAAGTGAGTTGTTTGAAATCGATTACAGTTCTAAATTTTTTCTTATTTAGAAGGCAGTTTAATTATTGAATTGCTGAAAGTCCACACCTCTACCTTCCGTCTTCAAAACACATTTTCGACTCTTTTAAAATTTGGGATCACACGTATTGTAATTAAATTATAAAGTCATTTTAAATTCATGGAGTACTACACTGAAAAATTTGAATTCTGGGTATTCAAGGAATCATAAAAATCTAATGAGAAGTGAAATGGACAAGCGAATATCAATAATGTTTTAGTATGAAGAAGTCCTCTTGACCAGTTTTTTGTATTTCTGCACAGGGTGAATGGTTACAATATCCAATGTTTCGGTCATCAGGGGAAAAGTCTCAATCATCTTGAAACCATGACACCTCAATAACTCAAAAATACTATTGTGTTCATTATTTTCTAAATTGTAGTAATAAGCGTGCCAGAAACAAAACGTCGAGAAACAAACGGTTTTGGGGGTAATTAATGCCATGGAATATTACACATGTGTCACTTCTTTTTGCGTTTCCTTCAAGTTAGAGCCCTTACAAGAAATAGGAAATCCCAAGTGATGATATCGAGAAGCATTGCCGCTGCTGTTGTGATTGGCTCACGGACATTGAAAAAAAATTGATGTGGCAAGTTCCGCACAGCGCAGCATCTGTCTTTCGCAGCTTAATCACGGATGCCGCATATTGCAGTAAAACAATCGTATTCGCAGAATAGGTGTCAATTGTTTTATTGCCTTATAAAATGTGGAAATTAGGCAATTGAAATTTATTACATGAGAAATAAATTATTTGGTTTTTTATGGCCTTCGTCCGTATAAAAATCGCGCCTTACTGTTTATTCTTCATTTTCTCAACGGAAGAATGCCCGTCGAAAAGTTTCAATCGTAAGTTTTTCTTTTATCATCTTGATTTCTTTTTTTTCACATGAAATTTTCAGAATTTCTGCTAACGCCCTCTTCCAGAAAATGTTGATCCTGAGAACATTCATTATGGAGACACCGTACCACAAAATGACAAGCGAGAGAATGCGCAAACTTGACAAAGACTTGCGAAAAGTATCGGAATCGCCGATCCTGTGGACCCCGTTTAAATGGCTTCCTCTAAGTCGTCCGACTTTGTTTTCTATTACGTATTATTCTTCACCACCGTCAATCGAAAAAGTGTATTGGACGACGCTCGAGGAACTATTCCAATTTAAAGAAGATTTTCATCGCCTTATCAATATCGAAAATTTTTCGACAATCAATATGGATGTGAACCCAACGGGAGACTGTTTGGACAAATACAGAGAATTCTTGTTTTTCTCGAATTATTGCATTGACCAAATTGGCAATGAACAGTTCAATCAAGAGCATGTGGATCGTCAGATGTTCATGGATTTTTCTAAATATGAGTTCCAACTCGTGTTAATGGTTGGTTTTGAAGAAATTTTGTTACACATGAAATACTACCTTTCAGAATATCGAAAAGAAATAAATAGTCTCTTTAATTTCATTTGTTGTTGTTCCAATTCTTCTGTCAAATCCAAACGCAAATAATTGGATAACCAGTGGCCTCAAATATTTCTAATATTTCTATTTTTTAAAGAAATGTTTCTCACCTTCTCTTCCCGTTCTTTCTTTACAATTCTTGGCATTATTTTATTGGAAACTTGTGATAATTTTGAACATCTCGTATTATTTGTATTTTTTTGCATTCTTCACGTTGGTTATCTTTGAGTGAAATTAATTTTGGGAAAATAAAGCTAGGAATGAAATTTACATATTTCGCGTTTTATTTGGAAATTTGGTCGTTTGGTTGCATCATTTATCAGCCTGATTTTTTTTTCCATTTATCAGTCTGATTTTTTTAATCAAATTATGTGCATTCGACTGTCAATGGTTTTGTTCCGTCAATTGTTTGGCTATGCTTGCCTTCGACTAAAGCATTTCGAGCTCAGGAGAGAATTTTGGTATTCATAAACTGCTAATCGATCATTCTTCTAACTCTTCCAGATGCAATGAAATATTTCTATTTCGTGCATCTTAATTTATGGTTAAAATAATTTAAAATTCCTAGTTTTGAGTTTCACTTAAAAACAGACGGAATATAATTTATTTACAAAATATATAATTTAAAGCAAATAGTAAAAAATAAGGCAAATAATGGCTGAAAAATTTATTTTATCGCGATATGAGTCCTGAAATACAATAGTCATTTTAATCAAGAAAATACAAACTTACATTTCCTTCATACTTGATGTCATCCTGGACAGAAATGCTATAATTTTGATTCTTGATGAAGTTCTGGAACATCTGGAATGTCTCTTTTGGTTTTTGAGCTTCTGCTGCGGGGAAATGACCGCCACCCTTGATCGTTACAAGTTCAACTCCTAAAATAATCGTCTTTATTTTTGTATATCCATAGAGTGCAGTAAACCATCATATTTAGTCCAAAATCCAACAGACATTGGTAATTGATTTGGATCTTTCCATGATGTCGCTGGTTGTACCAACGTTCCGTTAAGGCTTTTCAAAAATTGCGCATTTTCCACTACATTGCACAAAGTGTCAACATCACCGTTAAATAGTGTGACTTTCTTTTTGGCGCCAATAACGGTGTTAAAGAATTTTGTCATAGTTGTATATTGGCTTACATATGCCATACTAATTTCCATGCTGAAAAAACATAGCTTTTAATAGAAATGGACCTTAAAATATATACCTGCACATACTGTAGTTTTGGACATAGTTTGGGATTCTTAAGGCTTGTCGAACTTCTGGCAAATTAAGATATAAGATATCATCATTATGTGTGGCACAGGTCGGTTGCTGTTCCTCAAGCTTCTAAAAAGTACAAATATAATACTAAACTTGAAACAATCTTTACTAAAATGGGGGTAATCAAATTCTCATATTTGTGGTTCATTTGTTTTTTCAACATATGTCGCTTTGTGGTAATAATTCTGTGATCTTCATTATGAGGGTATGGCAGTTTTGGATTCAAATAGCAAGAAAAGTAGAGGAAATATGGGTCCAATCCTGAATAGAACACTGTATCACTCAACTGATTAATCTAAATGTTAAATGATTATGAACGTTTGATAGAATTAAGGAAATACCTGATCTCCACATGATGTATTTGTATTAGACAATGCATAAAAGTCGCAATCAATTGATCCTTTGCAACATGTCCGAACCGTATTTTGGAAAATTCTGACAAATATATGTTTCTTTTCAGTTTACAATTTTTAATTTTACGTTTCATCAATCAATCCATGGTAATATTGATAAAGAATGTTCGTGTTGAAATTGATCTTATCGTCGACACAACCATTTCCAATAAGCATTCCCTTAAACTGAGGGAATTCATCACTTAAAGCCAATTTTGAAGATAACATTGGCACATAAGTGCCAGCATAAGACTCTCCAGCAATGTATAAATCATTCGATTTCATTTCCGGGAATTTCTGAAGTATTGATGATCATTTTCTAATTTTTTTTTTCAGTAATCACCTACTTTAAACCACGCCAATAAAGCATCAAAGTTATCAGTGGCAACTTGGTCATCGGTAAATGTTTTGTTCTTATTGTCATAATATGAGAAGCCAACTCCAGCTGGTGCATCAAGATAAATGATATTAGCAAGCTTAAGTAGAAAACGTGCATCCAGTCAACAAATAAATTATACTCTATTCCATGTCCACGGATTCCTTTCAACACGCTTTCCTGCGTTTCGCACTCTGAATGGCCCCATTTCAATGAATAGGCCTTCTAGCGAGGCACATCCGGGTCCTCCATTTAACCATAACACTAAAGGATCTTTTTCTGGTTTATTTTCGGATTCCACATACCTAAAATTTTGCGTAATCTTTAAAAAAATATTACTTACCAATAGAATAATTGTTTTGTTGAAGAAATGTTCAAATAGCCAACATAGTGATTTGATCGAAATGGTTCAACCAAGTTTGGGATACTCTGAAATATGCTTAGCTAAGAAGTAGATTTTAAAAAATATCAACTATAAATAGTTGAAAACGGCATTCTTATGTATCGCAGTTCTGTTTAACTTACCGAAATTCGATCTGACTCTGGCGCAGCATTACCAGTGAGAAACAGAGACAATAATATATATACAACAATCATTCTTTTTTGGAAAAAAACTCCAATCTGACTGATAAATTCTGTAACACTCTCAAAATTTATAAAGGATTTAAGACGATTAAAGTTTTATACAATCGAATAGTTCTTATCGTTCAATTACATCAAATGGTTGACTAGTGAACAAAGCTAGTGACACTATCAGTACATTAATACGGCTTCACTAGCATATAAAAATTTTTATTGTGCAAATTGAATTTAGTATAGACAATTAATATGGAAAGCAGAAAATAGCGTGTTGATTGGGAAATTTAAAATTAAGGGTTTGAATTTTTCCCTAGCGTGAAATCACAATTTAACCGGATTACAATCTAATCATGGATAGAACAAACCATAAAATGAGTTTTTTTGTTTAAAAAGAGGGGAATACGTTATGTGGAAGAATGAGCGCGTTGGAGAATGCAAGGTAGTAAGGCGATAGGATGAACAGGTCAGCAAGTAGAAAATAACAGGAGAGATCGAGAGGAGTGAAAACTAGCACGTGAGAGTAAATGAAGGAATCACAAAAAAACAATAAAGCGATAAAAATGATTAGTTGGCCGAGTTGCTTGAATCCCGATCAAATTCGATTGCAGAATGGTGCTCTTTGAGGATTTCAGCTTTGGAGAGCCGATTGCGCTCGCGGCCGAGGGAGTGCCTCCTCTCGAACCTTTAATCGAATTTTTAAAAATATCAATAATGTGTTTGTAAAGTAGTACTTCAATAAGCTCCTACTAATTCTCGATTGAATATTCTTGCCAAATGAGAACCTTGGTGTTGAGATGTCGCCTTCCGGTGATGCCAACGGAGCCTCACATTTTGAACGATGATTGTTTGAATGTGAAGAAGATCTAAGAGACACAGGTTTCTCGCTGATAAGAATAGTTCTTTTTTTAGTTTATGTTGTCTGTTAGCCCAACTAAACTCCAATCAGTTAAATCATATTGTGTAAATGATGATGTATGATTACGTGATTCAATAGAATTAATGATGAGTGAATTTGTCTTCTTACGGCTAGTAGAATTACTTGTGATAATATAACGCTACAATTACGATTTATTTCTTCAAAGGGTATTTTGAAATTAACTATTATTGCAACTAACCTATTGCAGTTGCTTTTATCCCTTCCGAACCGATAGCTTCTTGTGTGGATTGGCTTCCTCAGCATTTGTGCCTACAATTTCAATTGCTCTTTTCACATTTTTAATTATTCATTTCAACAATAAATGATTTTAAACTTTCTTATTCACAACGCAGTCATATCAATTACAATCTGATCTGGTGGTCAAATAACAAGGCTACTAAAAAAATTTAGTTACAATATTATTAAAAAAAATTAATTTTTTTAATCGGGAAGAATGGGTTGGAGATCGCTTTGTTTATTTATATTTATATATTTTTCTAATCTTGAACTGATTTTGCTTCTGTTATAATTTCTTGGTTAGTTACAAATATATAATTCGATGCATAAAGTATATTGCGAAAAGTTAAGTTTCAAGAACATACGATACACAATTTTGTTAAAATTCCGAAAATCCCTGGAACGATTACAATTTTGTTTTTTTTTTGAAAATTACTATATAATGTTTTAAATTTGATTGTGTTACTCTTAATAGTGAAAACTTGTGGTGAATTTTTTGATTTTTAAATGTTTGTCGTTGATTGGAAGCGGCAAATTAAATGAGGATTACATCAAAATAAAGCCATAACTACAATAATGCACACGAAAAAAAAAACAAATAATTAATATAAAAAAATAAATAATGGACACATGACCGGCGGACAGACAAGACAAGACAAGACAGACAAAACAGTCATTCAGGCAGGGTTTTTGATTTTGTTTAGTATTTGAAAAGCGTATTCAGAGTTTGGAAGGCGGGGGCTGTTTTGGGTAAGGTATTCAAAGAAATGCGTCAAGCTCCTCATCCGAGTCACCGATCGCATCTGGTGTCGATTTGCCATGAATTGGATCTCCTAGCGAGCTTGGCACGCCTAAAGGACCTGAGGGGCTGCCCTCAGAGGCGACGGCGCGGACTTGAGTCGACGGCGCAGCGCCGCGACGCGATTTCTTTGCCTTTTTCAGCATTTGCGCCTGTAAGAAATCGAAAATTAGCAATCACGAAAGCAAAAGCAAAATTTTGATTGGGGAGGGTGTGGGGCCTGCTTCGTGGTGTGGGGCCTGCTTGGTGGTGGTAGATGTTGAACAGATTCCGACAAGTAAAACCACTCGAATGTTCCACAACAATTATCTACATATAGTACAAACAATAAAGCGCGGGATTTCTTTTTTTTTAATTAGTTTGGTAAAGAAAAAACAACATGTTGTTATGAAAGAAAGAAAGAAAGAAAGAAAAACCACTCCAAACGTTTTTTTTTTCATTTCAAATTTGTTGTTTCGCTCATTATATTATTTTTCAATTGCAATCTGATCTGTAACGAATGATACCTTCAAGGCAGATTTCAATATCGTAATAGTTCCTGGAGGTTGAATATGAGGTTCCCCGTCAACTTGTACCGGCCATTCCTCATGAGTAGTTATACGTATCTAGAAAAAATTTCACTCAATCTACCCGAATCGCTGCGGGTTTTCTTACACTTCCGCCTTGCGCAATCCGGATGCCAGCGGCAAGCTTTGATTGAATCAAACCAAGTCGAGAAACATCAGAAATGCCAACAACTTCCAAAAGGCCATCATAATGGGTTGGCTTTGAGAAGATGCCTTCCTCACGGGCTGTTCCCCATGGGTTGGCCCCACTTCCCCAGCTGAGCAAATTGAGCACGACGATTCCTTCAATGTTTGGCAACTCAATGGTCTTTCCATCAACCTATTAATAGCACATAAAAGTGAATAATTGAAATAAGTGTTGTACCTCCAATTCGATACGCTTCCATAGGTCTTTGCAAGTGCGCTCGAAGAACATTTTTTGGAGTCCAATCTTTGCGTACTGAGTCTTATTAAAAAGACGCGATTGGAATTTTTCGGGATTGGCGTCGCGCTGAAAATCGCCCCCATAATTACATTAGACAGCCTCACATTTAGTTATTCTTGGAAGAAATTATACTTGCTCTAATTATAGGGCTGATTACAAATAAAAGCATGCGGACATCGAGGGTTGCCTTTATTTTATCACCATTTTGTTTTAGCTTACTTACCTTGTTGTGGAATTTCAAACAAACATCGGCATCGATTCCGATTCCAAAGTAGTTGTTCATTATAATCATGCTTGTTTGATCTTCCGGGTTGCTCATAGTTTGATCTACCTCCACTGTTGATGGGTTTGATGATGATGGCGGTTGGCTTCGCTCTTCCTCATGAAACACAACAGCCCATCGATCAAGTCGCACCTCGTCAGCTTCGATGACATCCTAAAGCCCTTCTATACATAATTAATTTTTTTTTATTTTTACTTTCAAAATATCTAACGGGTTCTCTTCTCCTGTATAACCTCCGCCCCATCGAAGCACTCTAGCCAGATCGTTTCCAGTTCCCAATGGGACAATTCCGCATGGTGGTGAGAAGCAAGCCGCATCCTGTTTGGCAATATCAAGGCACTGTAGAACCCATCCAATAGTTCCATCTCCTCCGCAAGCAAGGATCTTGTACTTTGGAATGTTTCGGAACACGTATAATCCAACCAAAGGGCCACCCTTTAAGACATCGAAAACTTGGAAAGGGTTCAGCAGCTTTCGGAATGACTGAATCAGCTCGGTTCCTTGGCATCCACCGCTCTTCACATTGACAAGAACGAGTAGCGGCTCGCAGTCGGGTGATAACATATGAGGCTGCACGTTAGGCAGGCACAAAACGATAAGCTTTTTGTCCTCGTATTGCGCGTTCTGCAGCTTTTGCACAGCAGCGGTGGCGGCCTTTGGGGTATTGAAAGTGATCACCAAGCTTCCATATTCAAAATAGATTGGTCCAATCGCTGTGAATGGTTTTTCCTTAGCTCCGAGCAGCTTGAGCAAAATTCGTTCGTATTGTCTTTGTGCCAACGAGACTGGAAGATTTCCAACGAAAACCGCGTGATCGTGCGGGTCTTCCTTTTCTTGTACATAGAAACGAACAACGTGATAACGACGAAGTGAATCCTTAAGATATTGTGATTGTAAGGCAATATTAACGCAATAAATATGAATAAATAAAATAATTGCTTGAAAAAGTGTGCTTAACTTGAATTTTTGTCATTATTCCTCATGCTCATTATAATACTCTATTAGTATACGTATTTTGTTTACAACATTTCTCAATTTTCGAAAACCCTATAATTTGGTCACATTTTCTGCCTCAATTTGCATACCAAATATGTCCAAAAAAAACCTTCTTTCATATCTAGTTTTTCTCACAAATTGCACCTTCCTCCGCTATATTTGTCTATTAAGCAACTATCCTCACGATATTTTCTTAATTATAACCCACACAAACATTTTCACATTTGTGAAAAACAAAACATTATGTTGATTCTGATTTTCACCAAATGTCTTAAAAATACGTACTTTGCGCAGATTTCTAACTAGCTGCAACATATTTTCCTGAGAGTTACATGTGCGTTCAGCAACACCGCGATCCAATGACACTTCAATTAAATTGTAACGGTTCCACGTGGTGCCGTCAAGCCCGAATTTGTCCAATGACTGCACTAGCAAATCTTGAACAATCGTCTCTTTGGTTACAGTGAGACTGCAGAAGGTTACTGGCACCCGTCTAGAATGACATTTTAGTTTAAAAATAGTTGACATTAATGTTCAACCTTAACCATCCACCGTATACTCTAACAACATCTTTCTCTGGGTCATCTTTGTATCTGAGAAAAATCTGGGCCCGTCTTCCTTCTGGTCGTTTAACATTTCTCAATGGCACCGGGTCCTCTAGAGGCTCCTCCTCCCCATCTCCAACAATCTGGGTAATATAGTACATTTCCGAGTTGTCCATTATGTGAAATCGTCGAAGTGCCGCGTCCCGAATCACTTGAACAGTAGCGGTCTTCGAGACACAAATTGATCTTGACACCTGAAACTGAAATTGTCACGACTAATTATCAGCGCCTTATTAGTACTTGTGCTCGAAGCGAACTGTTGCCGTCAAATACTCGTAGAACCTCGACATCCTCCTTTTCTTTGAAATCATCGCCGCTTGATGAAAAATCATCAGCTTGGACTTTTGATGGCGACGAGACTGTAAGTTCTAAAAGTGCAACAAATATTGGCCTGCTCGTTGTTTGAATAACATAAATACATGCGCGGAAATAGCAAAAAATTGGAAAAAAGTAATAAATCATTAAAAGTAAGGAAATGTGAAAAAATAGACGCTGCGAGCATTGTTAACCACCTAACTTTACCAAAATATGAAAACATTTTCTTGCCTCCTCATTTTTTTCAAAACTTGAGTTCTTATGTTATTCAACTATCGCTGTATACGTTTCATAAATATTAGAGGAAAAAAATTTTGAAAGAGAAATACACTTTTAATAATTTAAGCAGACTATGACAGCTCATAGAAACATGGGATTGCCATGCTTTAAATTCATGTTCAATCATAATTAAGCTCGAAATGTTTGGGTTAGCGCAAATGTTTGGACAATTACGATAAAGTAACATTAGAGAAAAAAAATAGCGTGTCATTCTGACCCTTACGAGACTGTGGTTGATCCGAGGTGGTGATGTTTAATAGTTGCTCCATTGGTAGTTCGGTTCGCGGGATGGTTAGCGAATATGGTGGCAGCATAATTTTTCGAAGGATCCCAAAGTCGCATTCTTTTCCCATTTGTCGATAACAAAGCGCATGCGCCTTTAAACATTAATTAATATTTTTGTGCATTTCTCAATTCGGCTAACCGTCTGTCCACACCATTCGCATCTCATTCCCGCCAAACATTCTGTTGAGAAACATGATTTCCGGCATACTATACATTTCGAATCTTTTGGCAAATTTCCTTCCCGCATATGATGATATTGTACAGCTTGGGTCTTGAAAAACTCAAATTAAATTTTCTGACCTAATAATAAAAATTTACGCTATCGATGTTTGGAACGTATGTCGCAGCTTCCTTGCAGTCAGATACGGCTAGATCGTAGCAGTCTACGTGCACGTAGTACTCGCAGACTACAATTTGTTATTATATATTGTATATAATTGCCATCAGTATAATATCTATGAAGCCGTCAAGCTATTTAGCATGAATCTCATTTCATATAATTCACAATCTGTTAATTTTTCACTTGACTATAACCAAATTTTTTAAATAAAATTATTTAAATTTTGTCCCACCTTCCTTGCATTTGTATTTCATTATTTAATATCATCGCAAAAAACGAGCACCTTAAAAAATAGGAGAATATCGCACTTCTCCGAAGCGCCAATTCAAATTTGATCTTAACATTGGGAATTCTTGTGCTATACTACAAATACCTTGCAAATCAACGGAAGTTGCTCGTTTTCTTACAATTGTAACATAATTGCATATAATTGCCAAATTGCTAATTTTGTTGTATTTTCAATCGGAAATAATCACGTTATTCACTCTAATCTAACAATATAATGGAAACTCATTGAAATAAGTTTGCGTGTTCACATTGGTAAAAAATGGGTTTCTACCTATATTTGATCTTTGAGTAAGTGTGATTCTTTTTAATTATAAGAACGCAAGAACTACGTTACTTCCAAAGCCTTCAAAAACTATGTACGTATATCAGGTGACCACAACGCAATTACTTGCTGTTAAATGGTATTATTTGCTAAATTCCATTTATGTCCTCAGAAATTTGCATGATGATCAGAAATCTCTCACAAGAAAAAAGATCTCAGCCCTTTTATCTTCTTTTCATTCTGTTTTTTTTTGCATCATTCGTTATCGGAACCTCAACTTTCTAATGCGTCGAATGCCCCGAACGCGCAAAATTGCCACCTAATGCAGCTAATTAGAATATAACTCTCCTCCATCTAGACCACCGTGGCTCTTCTATAGAGTGTGCAGAAATAAACTAATTTTACGGCCCACCAGATTGTGTCCAAATTTTCAGAACTGAAAATTTGGAAGAAATGAACATGATACGTTAGATTGATATTGGTCCGGACGAATCAGAATTAAGATCAAAAACAAAAAATCTTTTTTTTTTGAAGTGAATTCTTAAATTTAAACTCCCCATAATACATTTATAAGCTATTTTATGAAAACTATTTAAAATATTAACAGAAATAGTTTTTGGAATTCTTATCAATATCCTCTTAGACTATCATAGTCTAGCTCCTTAGCGTTTAGAGTTGTCACTGGTGACGTTCACTAAATTTATTTCTTTATATTGAATTCGTCATTCCATTTATCGTACTCCAGAAATCGTTGTTCGTGTCATTTTTCATTTTTGCCAGCCTATTCAATCTTGATGAGGTAATTCCGAAAGTGTTTTTTTTCTCTGTCACCAGCCTCAAAGCCCGATTAAAACCCATTACAGTATATCCAATTAATGATTTGAATTAATAGTCAGACGTTTTTTTTTTAATTCAGTGAGTAGGCGTTATGACTACAAATAATTGTGTCCTTAACATATCGTAGCTGCACTTTGTCCATTAAATCTATAGTACCTTCACACTCCACCGACATTGACTCGTCAGTTCGACGACGGCACACGCAGCAGAAGCGGCGCTTGATCAAAGATGGTTGAGACCAAGTGTGAGCAACAGGGTTCTAAATATAATAGTAGAAAGGTTGACGAATTATCTTGGTGACTCTGACCTTTATGAGTTGCAACGCGACTCCGCTACAGTAGGATACCACGGTTTTAAGGCATTTGTCATGACAAACAAAGTTACACACTGAAAATAAGTGAAATTTTGAATCAGATTTTTCCATATAGGATTTTTACCTTCGCATGCGTAGCCTTGTGTAAGCATTCCCCAGATCTTATCGCAACAGTGATGGCAGTAGGTGGGCTTGCCAAAGGTCTTCTTGGCAAAATAATGCCCATGGTCTCGGCTCAACGTCAATAGGTTAGCATCGACGTTATGTCCTTCGGTGGCCATCTAAAATCAGGAAAATGAATGAATACATAAAGAAAATAAGGATGATAATTTCATGGAGCTACTGAATACCTGAGGCTGCCTTGCTCGCCGAAATTTGAATCGACGGAGCATCATTGGAATGAATATTGGCTAAGTAGAAGGAGAATGATGTTTGGCTTTTTTGCGTTTCGGGAAACTTGAATTAGAAAAACAGTGGGCGGAGGCGATCGCTATTGCTGGTGCTATTGACTACAGCTTGGGCACACGACATTCGTTCCTTATTTGGGCCAAGCCAAACACGAAACGCTAGCCTCGAAATCAACCGGGGTCGAAATATTTTTGAAATTCAGCCGCAATCAAATTTTGATTAGTGCAAATTGGCTAATTTCGAATCAGCTACAAAAATGCGATGACGAGAAGAATGCTCTAATTTTAAAGCGTCCTCGCAAGCTTCAAATATCGAACTTGATAAATCAATCCAACAACTGTTGTTCTTTGAGAGCCAACCATGAGAAAAAAAAAGAATTTCCGTTATTATTTAAACTTTTAGCTCAATCAATTTATTTCCGGAAATATCAAGCTAATTCATCTAGGTTACCATAAATCTATATAGAATATCGCGAAAGTCGACCCAGAATGATCCCATTTTCTGTCTTTCTCGCCGAGTTTCCTTTTATAATGATGAATATCGGGTGGTTAATTTTCTTCTCAACAACAAGACAGACTAAATTTGTTCGGACCAATTTGATCAAAACTCATTTATTTCGAGACCATATTGATATTTAAAAATAATTACCGTATGGTTTTTTCTTTTTAACAGCGTCATTATGGTCGAACTCCGTGACGAAACGAACTAGTTCCAGAAGCGTTCCGATATTTAAGTTCAAAAATAATTGAGAACGAAGGGTTCGTATAAACCGTTAGCCACTACTAACCAAGCTAATTTTTCGGGGTTGAAAAAAATTTTATGAATAGACAAAGGGACTGGTGCACAGGGCCGCACATAAAAAATCTCTGTCGCCCGACGCTCAGAATCGTCACGCCTCTTCAAACAATGCCCCTGACGTTGAGGCGCGGGAATCAATTCCGCTCCACATTCATCATTTTTTCGAATCTCAAATATGGAGGAGATAGAATAAATTGAGGGAATTCATAGATGTGGCGGTTTTTTGATTTTTTCGACTAGCTCAGAATCAGGGGCTCACTAGCAGCAAACTCACCGAGCTGAATGGAAGTTACTTTGACGTGCGGAGCAAATCAAGTCGGCATTAGTGTTGAGAGCTCATTCAGGTTTCGCAGCACCTTTCTACCAATTCTTCAAATATGAAAATGAAGGCACCGAAATTGGAATTCTTCTGTAATGTTGAGAATTAGTCATCAAATTGTTGTTGGTTCGTTCAAAAATTAGCCAACAAAACGACGAGCTAAAAAAACATTAAAAGCGAGGTTAGAGATTACTGTGACTCAAAGGGAAGAGAACACTAAAAATTTTTGATAAATGGGGAAATAATTCGGAAAAAAAATAAAATAGGTGTCAACATTTAGCCTCAAATCAGAGAAATAGGGAAATTTGGAAATTTTCTAAATTCTTGAATTCTATATTGCATTCTTGTTGTTTTATACTAGGAGAAGCCTAGAAAAATATTAGTTTTCTTAAGAAGGTCTGAGAAATTTTCTGGAAATGTCGTTTATATTTGGGGCCCCAAGAATTGGAAGTAGACGAATTAAATTACGCTAATTATCAAAATTACTTATTATTTATTACTCGTGATGGGTTTGTTCTGATTAGAGACGTACTAAGTTTAAAAAAATTTTGACAATCTTAAAAAAATTAGTTGAGTTCGTAATCTACTCCAAAAAGTTGATTTTTGGCCAAAATAAAATTTTCTCATGACGAGATTCGCCACCTCAATCTTTTTTTGGCTTCTAATTAGCTTGTCTTCTGGGAGAGCGTCAACACTTGAGTGAAAAGAAACAAACAAATAGTAAAATGAAATGCCTAGTATTCGTGTTTGAATTTTTCTTGAAATTTCTCGATTCAGCGGAATCTCCGTGATTATTTCCTCGTGTAATTTGGCATTAATTAGAGGTAATTTTATTCGACAAATAAATGAGTTAATTAGCTAATATGTCACAAACTGTGCATTACGTGATGTACTTTCAACGCACACGTGAATGGTGACGTGATCAGCTGACAGAATCCTCTTCCATCAAAACTATGCGTAAAAGCTTATTCATTCATAAATTGCATTTTCTCATTAATCATCTGCCATCAAAAAGCAGTCAGCCGATGAGAGCCAAGTGCAGAGTCAGCTATCAAGATCTCGCGGAGACAATAAAAAAAGAATTGCACGAAATGCGAAAACTGATCAGAAGGGCCCCATAAATGCGAATTTTTTTTGGTGTCCAACAGAAGCGGCCAAAAAATCAGGGGTGTGTTATCCAATAAAAAAACCTATTGTCATGGGTACCACCTGTATCATTATTTTTTGCGCACTTTTTTCCCCGATTAAAGTGGACTAGAAATTGACGGTTGGCTGCAATATGAACAATAATAATAAAAAAACGGAAAGATTTGTAGAAAGTGTACATATTACTATTATTACTATTTAAAATGAAAGAGCAAGATTATTTACGCATGGGTTATTCGCTTTACGCGTAACCTTTTAGCTTACATAATAAAAGAATGCCTCATTATTTTCATAGTGACGTAGTGGGACGGCGTGCGTAGAGCTACCGAGAGTGTATTGGAATAAATCAAGAATATTTTATAATCGAATGTCGTAAATTTGATTTGGTCGCGAATTATATATTTTTTAGAGTTATAGTATTAAACACTGAAAAGATGTGGAGGCCGAGCGCAGAGAAGAATCATCAAGTGCAGCGCATTGGAGGGCCCGAATTTTTATTAACCGAGTTGCCATAAAAACATTTTCTTTTCTTTTATAGGATATCGGAAGAGGCGGAGAAGTAGGAGTAGAAGGAGGAGTTTTATGGCAGCGGAGGGGCTCAGCGAGTCAATTTTTAGCGATACCAGTTCGCAACGAATTAATTAATTTGCAACAACGGCGTGTCGTAAAATACATATCATTCGAAATTTATGGAATACTCGCTTCTCTTCAACAAATTGACATGACCGCATGGCCATTGGTAGTTTTATGGATTCTTGACATCATTATATTGGAATTACATGTATTGGGCAACTCAGCCCCGCTGAGTTCAAACTCTTGTTGATCTCCTTCACTGGTTATTTATATACCAATTTCATATAGCAGGTGAAACACGAGGGAAACTGTCAGCAGATGGAAAATTAATGAATTCTGTGAAGGTTTGTTCACCTGCTAATGATTGGAGCCATATTCTACACATGTTGATTCTTTTTTCCTCTTGACTGCTAGAAGGATTGATTCTTGACTGCTAGAAGGAATCGAATCGCATCCCTTTGTCATGGAGCTTTTTATTTTCTTAGACGCTCACACATCCGTACACATCTAGAGATAAGACGTTCATTACTACTGATTGAATTTCTAAACAAGTTCGCTGTACTTTCCGAATCGGGGGGCTCGAAGCAAGCAAGAAGAAAAAAAGCGACGGCAAGAAATTGTTCTTTTCTTCCGTTTTTTTTCTTTCGTATGCATTTTGTCTTCACCCGTCGTTTTTTCTTTCTTCTTTCTTCTCTACCATAGGATAACTCGGCGGCCCATCTGTAAGTTGTGACACGCAGCCGTCATCGCGCAGAATTCCACCCACAATTTTTGCGAAGATGCCTCAACGAACTGAAAACGTCGTCGACTTGAACGACGTTGTCGCGTTTTTCATTGTCCCCCCCCCCTCCCACTCAAAGAATGAATGAAAAAAGGAAGAAGAACGATAAAGAATGCTGGGAAAAAAATGCGATCTCGGCCCTGGAGGAAGGTCCTAATGAGCAAATCTCTGACAAGAGAACGTAAATGGAAATATTGGAGTGGGGGTGAGAAATGGGAGAAAGCTGTGTCAATACAACCAGATTTCATCCATCCGGGGTCAGGAGGGCCCTAGAATTATCCAACCAATATTGGAAATTCGGGGGCCCTCCGATGTTGACATTTGCCTATACCAACCACTACCACCACTTCACTTCAAAATGTACGCTTTCCTTCTTTTTATTCCGCCAGTTCGTTCTCCTCGCCTTTTTTGTTGGTCGGAGAAAGGGCAGCAAAATGACAGAAGTACATTACATTGCCTCCCATTGAGCAAAAGAGATGAGACATACCTCCCCTCACATTCAATTAAATGTGGCGTGTAATTGATGAAACTTATAATCTCATGACGGGTTGGTTAATTGCGCACAAATATTGGAAAGAATATATTGAAGATGATGGAAAAAATGTGAGGAATTATGATGGATAAGGTCGAAAAACTTGAGGGATGGCAAAGAGGTGGGAGATCGCGCATACTTGAAAAGGGAGAAATTAATTCTTCCATAGGAAGAAGAAGAAGAAGAAAAAAGAGAGGAGTCAAAGTTTTAATGAAGCTGAGACATTGAAGATTTTACGACGTGGACTCGAACATAAAAATTGAGTGCTTCAATCGAAATTAAAGAAGAACAACATTTTTTATGTTAAGGTAGCTAATGGTATTTTTTAGGAGCAACCCAATTTTTGATTTTTTAATGAAACATTTAATTGTGTACACAGCAGTTTTAATATAGGTCATGTTTCGGTTCCACTCATTTTGGAGAGGGAGGGGGGGCACTTATACATAAAATGGCGTAACAAGGGCTGGGGGGGGTGAGGTTTGAGTTGAGGAAATAGCGGATTCGAAGCAATCTAATCTCGCGGCAGCAAAAAAAACGACGAATCGGCAGGCATTCTCATTATTCACCATAAAAAGTGATGGCGCGAGAAAAGGCGCCAAAAAGATGCCCAAAAAAAATAATGAAGATGCGCGAAAAAAGCGAAAATCGAATTTGAAAATGAGTTGGTTGGGCTTCTGTCGAGACTGGCAGAAAAACCAACGACACTTCCTAAACAACACAATTC